GGCGTGACATAATCCGGTGATCAACACCGCCGTGAGGAGGCACAGCGGATGTTGTTCTCCTCGTCTTGGTATTGCTTCGATCGAGTGACGACGTGGTCCTTAGTGTAGACGAGACTTCCAGTTCCGGGCTCTAGGAATCCGGGTAAATCTGGGTGCTGGTGTTCCCAGGTTTCTACAAGGCAGATGAGATGGTACTCTAGTCGCATGGCAGTTCCAGACCAGTTGGGCCTCTTGCGCTCAGTGGGAAACGATTGGAGATTGGTTTACCGCCTGGTCGCGCTTCATCCTTATCTTTACGCAAGCAGTGTGGATGTCGCAAACTCCGGGAAGGGTCTGGAGGGTGGTGAATGTTGGCGAGGCGATTGTCGTAAAAGCTGGTGGTAGCTTGAGTCGCTTGGGTGGAGTGGCCTGAGTAGCTAGGGAACGCGAGGCTTGAGTCGCTGGAGTGGCCTCGAGCGGCGTCTCCTCTCCTTATAGGGTGAGGCCAGTCCCGAGCGGTGTCGGTGTCGATGAGGAGAGGAGATCTGGGCAGCTACGTGTACGTAGCCGCCCCAATTTGCGAAAAGCTACCGAGTGTGCACCTCGGAGATTCTTTATCAGGGAAGCCGTCTGTGAGAGTACGTGCGCTTGCGGCTTGCTTTACGTTGAGCGTCCTGTGGCGGTGAGTGGGTTGGCGGCCATACTTGATGTGCAAGCATGTTTGCGGACCAGAACCTTAATCTAGACCAACTCGGCCACTTTCACAAACTGAAGTCCGAGAAATTCGCGTTTTGGAACATACAGCGCCAGCCGAGAACGTCCTGTCGCTTAAAGCTGGGATCGATGATTCATTGATCCGCAAGACAAGACTGAAATACTCCGTCGACGGAAGTGACGATGGTAAGAACACGAGCAGGAGTTAAGCTAAAGTAGAGTGTTCGCTTTGATGAGCTCTGGCAAGTTATGAGCGATAGATCTCCTTTCAGTTCCAAAACCACAAGCTTGTTATCTCGTTATTTCTCTCGTTCTCTCGTTCTTTCTTTTAAGTGCAGCTAAGCAGGATGTACCAAGTTATATATCTAGACGAACTGATGCTGTACGTAAATGGGCATATGCCAGGTATCGATCACTTAACACAAGAAGTTATAAACTACAAAGTTATATCTATCTTTACTGGCCAGCCAGAGGAACAAAAATTTACAGATTGGATTTATCCCAGGTCACCTACATCATGTTAAAAACTGGCGTCTTGATGAAGGATTCCGTGAGCACCAGAGCGAGGAAGCCAAGCATGGCAGTCCGCCCATTCCAGCGCTCCGCCATGGCATTAAATGGGCCCAAAGCTCTGCTATCGGGGCTCTCCCCCTTAAACATGGGAACCAGCGATGCATACGCAAAGAGCTGTGCCACCATCAAGAAGTTAAACAAGCCAAAGTTGCCTGGCGCGTAGAGCTGCTCGAACACCGTTTGTCCCGTTATTCTCTCCACAGCAAATGCCCACACAATTCCAACCATGGCCTGTATCAATGGAAAAAAATCTAATAACAAGGCCACGGATCCAGGAACGAGGAACTTACCAGTCTGCCATTGATCGTCTCTGGGCCAGCGCCATCAAATGCCATCAAGCTGGGGAACGATCGATCGCCAGTCTCTGGCCGCCTCTCGATCTCCGGCCTCGGCCACATTGCTCCGGACGATGGCACAGCTCCAAACACGGACTTCTTCTCCGACTCATTCTCTGCCTGGTTCTTGAGCACACCCTCGCGGCTAATATTCTTCTTGGTCTGGTCCAGAACGCTGCTGATGCCATCGCCTCCTGCAGGACCTTTGTCCGAGGAAGCTCTCACTGGCAGCAAGAATCCCAAGGAGCGAGTAGATCGGGACTTGTGAGCGGAGGCTCCTCCCAGAGGAGTTTTAGAGAGGGAGGAAGGGAGTGCCGCAAGGCTGCTGCTTGTGGCTAGGGCCATGTTGCTCAGGACTAAAAGCTACAAATATTTGGACCTGCAAAACACTTCAAATGAATTGGATCACTCAAATCGAATGTGAATCGCAGGATGGCTATACTGTTCTCGGTGCTGGAATTTATAAGAATCGGGGACCACACGTGGCAAGATCCCTGCCATTGTAGTGTCACCAAAGCATCTCTTATGTGTCGTAAGGTGGCGCGCCTTTACCGTGAACACTATTAAGGACGATGTTACTAGGTAATCTTTCAGCCGCAAGTCAAATGGGGCTTGCCACTTTGGCATCTCCTTATCAGTACGCGTACTCACCACATCAACTGAAGACCCTAAGTTTCCATTCTTGTGTTCAAGACCACATAAAGTTTGATAGCATTTTTGGCAAATCGAATCCCGGCGCCTCTTGCCCAAAACTTTGCGAGAGCACACATGCTGCATGGCACGTTTCTCCTTCTGGTACTGTAAGCGTGGCATGTTCCAGTCCATTCATTTTCTGATCCGTTGATAATGTGCGGCCACGGAGGAGAGACAGAGAGAGGATCCAGATTTCTGGGTACGGGAGAATTCTTAATTTGCAAAGCTTGGTTAAATTGGATGATTGATGCGAACTTGGTTGGAAATCTTCATACCTTGTGAACCAAGCAGTTAAAGTTTATAATAATATGGCTTTTTTGGGATATTAGAATCAAACTAAGAAGTGTAACGACAATTTCAAACCTGGTACAGCAAGAACAAGCATTTCGAATTGTTCCACTTACTCTTCAGGGAGCAAATTGAACATGAAAAAGATCAAACTCAAGCATATGCAGCAGTTCCGTTTATGACTCTTATGGACAGCTGTTTAAAATCTAGTTCAGTGTTTGCTCAAGAATTAAGAGTTACTTGGATTTCTATGTTTCCAATAATAAAGATTGGAGGCGGCTCCAAGTTTGTGAAGCTGGCACGGATTAACTTGACGAGGTGGTCTGCTAGATCGTGAAAAGCAGATTAAAAAAATGTAATCATATAGATAATATTTACATCATGTTAAAAACTGAGTGAAATTCGGCCAGCTCTCGAATGCAATCACGTTCCATTTGGAGACCCGTTTTAAGCTCATGTTTGCAAGGTAGACGCAATAAAATTAAAACTGTGTTATAACATAAATTTAATGAGCAAAAATTTACAGACTCTGAGGCTGACACTTACATCATGTTAAAAACTGGGGTCTTGGTGAAGAATTCCGTGATCACCAAAGCCAAGAAGCCAAGCATGGCAGTCCGCCCATTCCAGCGCTCCGCCATGGCTCTAAACGGGCCCAATGATCGGCTATCGGGGCTCTCTCCCTTAAACATGGGAACCAGCGACGCGTAAGCAAAGAGCTGTGCGACCGCCAAGAAGTTAAACAAGCCAAAGTTGCCTGGCGTGTAGAGCTGCTCGGCCACCGTTTGTCCCGTCATTCGCTCCACCGCAAATGCCCATAAGATTCCAACCATAGCCTGTGACGATAACATCAACGGAAAGAACAAGGAACTCCAGGAACTTTGGAGAAGGGATGAACTTACCAGTCTGCCATTGATTGTCTCGGGACCAGCGCCATCGAATGCCATCAAGCTCGCGAACGACCGATCACCCGTCTCTGGCCGCCTCTCAATCTCAGGCCTCGGCCATAATGCTCCGGACGATGGCACCGCTCCAAACACGGACCTCTTCTCCGACTCGTTCTCTGCCTGGTTCTTAAGCACATCCTCGCGGGTGATATTCTTCTTGGTTTCGTCCAGAACGCTGCTGATCCCATCGCCTCGCCCATTTTCCGAGGAAGCTCTCACTGGCAGCAAGAATCCCAAGGAGCGATTTGATCGAGACTTGGCTCCTCCGAGAGGAGTTTTAGAGAGCGAGGAAGGGATTGCCGCAATGCTGCTGCTTGTGGCGACGGCCATTGCTCAAAACTGAAAGCTACAAAATTCGGAGGGAAATACAAACGCTTAAAGAATTGGATCGAATGTGAATCGCAAGATGGTTAGACTGTTCTTGCTGCTCAAATTTATATGAAACGGGGACCACACGTGGCAAAAACCCTGCCATTCGAGTGTCACGGAAAGAATCTCGTATGTGTCGTAAGGGCGAGATATTTACCTTTATTATGAACACTATTAAAGAGTGAATCTTATGTTTCGAGCATCTCCATTTTTTGCTAGCAACCCAAATCAAGTATCCCAAAGAGAACGTGATGGTGGCGGAGGGGCTAAGGCGCAAAATGGGGTAGTATCTGTGATCTCGACTCGGATACCTGGCATTAGCTCCAGCTTCTCGCGCAAAAGACTTACAAGAATGAAGAAACTCCGATAAATTAGATAGATAGATGTTTTTTCAAGTCACCGCAGTGCTAAAGAGAACAATAAAGAAGCGATTGGCCCTATTGCGCACTGGTGTCTTGAGACTCACTGCTCATAATAGTGTATGCCTGTGTTATTTTATCAACTCCAGTGAACTGGCTAGCTCGTCAAACAAAACACACTAGACGGGATCGAAAGGATTATGCGAATGGGAGCATCTTCTCGGCGGCACAAGCCGGAGTAGAATCAAATTCTGGAGAGGAATCGATGTTGCAATTTGCTACTCCGCCACCAATGCGCCAAGTACTTGATGATGGGTCAAATCAATCGAGAGCTCTGCCGAGTGAAAACGTTATTCAGCCTTGCAGCGGCTGTTGTGTACTAGCCCGCCAAGGAGATTCCAGCACGAGCACTACGAAAATACAAAAGCGGAACATCCGCGACCCAGTGCTCGTGTGAGCCGCCGCAGCAGCAGCAGCAATCTAAAGCTCCACTCCTGCCATACCTCAAGTCCATTGTTCGGCATCCATGCTCTTGCTCGCCTCCATCTTATAGGTATAAGCACAGCATGCTGTGTGGATTGGAGCCAAACGTTTTGGACTTAGCATGGGTCTAGCAGGAGATATTGTGCTGTGAGTTGCACAGCGGTATATGGGAAACTGGAATGGCTCTTGGCAAGACACAACGGGCTTATTCGAATGCAATCACGTTCCATATGGAGACCCGTTTTAAGCTCATGTTTACAAGATAAACAATAAAATTAAAACTATGTTATAACATAAATTTAATGAACAAAAATTTGACTCTCAGGTTGACACTTACATCATGTTAAAAACTGGGGTCTTGGTGAAGAATTCTGTGAGCACCAAAGCGAGGAAGCCAAGCATGGCAGTCCGCCCATTCCAGCGCTCTGCCATGGCTCTAAACGGGCCCAAGGATCGGCTATCGGGGCTCTCTCCCTTAAACATGGGAACCAGCGATGCGTAAGCAAAGAGCTGTGCGACCGCCAAGAAGTTAAACAAGCCGAAGTTGCCTGGCGTGTAGAGCTGCTCGGCCACCGTTTGTCCCGTCATTCTCTCCACTGCAAAGGCCCACAAGATTCCAACCATTGCCTGTATCAATGGAAAAATAAACTTAGAACAACGGACTCCACGGATCCTGAACTTTGGAGAAGGGAGGGACTTACCAGTCTGCCGTTGATCGTCTCTGGGCCAGCGCCATCGAATGCCATCAAGCTCGCGAACGACCGATCGCCCGTCTCTGGCCGCCTCTCAATCTCAGGCCTAGGCCACAATGCTCCGGACGATGGCACCGCTCCAAACACGGACCTCTTCTCCGACTCATTCTCTGCCTGGTTCTTGAGCACATCCTCGCGGGTGATCTCCTTCTTGGTCTGGTCCAGAACGCTGCTGATCCCATCGCCTCGCCCATTGTCCGAGGAAGCTCTCACCGGCGGCAAGAATCCCAAGGAGCGACCGGATCGAGACTTGTAGGCGGAGGCTCCTCCGAGAGGAGTTTTAGAGAGCGAGGAAGGAATTACCGCAATGCTGCTGCTTGTGGCGAGGGCCATTGCTGAGGACTAGAAGCTACAAAAATTCGGTAGAAACGCTTTGAATTGGATCGCTGAAAGAGAATATGTGAATCGCAGGATGGCTAGACTGTTCCCGACCCTCGAATTTATACGAGGCGGGGACCACGCGTGGCAAAATCCCTGCCATTCCAGTGTCACCGAAAGAATCTCTTATGTGTCGTAAGGTGGCGCGAAATACTTACCTTTACCATGAACACTGTTAAGACGTTTGAATCGATCTTTGAGCTCAAAACCAATTGGGGCTTGCCACTTCGGCAGGCGGCGGTAAATCCATCGAATGTAGAACTAGTACCTGGATCAAGGTTGATCTCGGTTGATCGCAGGGGCCGCAAAAACCAGAAACTTCGATGAGCTTGAGAGAACAAAACAATCTTCTCTATTTGCGGTCACGCAGATTAAGAGTGTCGCTAAAGCATAGATTGAAAAGGAACCTGGCAGCCAGCAAATGCTGGAAGAAAAGTAGTAAAATGGAAAGAGGGCGATGAACAAGAGAAAAATAGAGAGCTTAAATTCCATGGAATGCCGATTTCAGGGCTTGCTCGATGGATGCGTGTGGCTTTGATTCAGCTGGCTTGTAACGGGCCCTTGATCCTCTGGAACCACGATCTCTTCAGCGATTCCTCCCGAATTCCATACCTCTGGCGATGACGGCCCCGGTGGCATTGCATGACAAAGAGGAGCTAAAAAACCCTGGGGTTTAGGGTTCTTGGGGAGAGAGCTATGGTGGTGTTGGATTCCCCGCTGCGATGGCTCACGGAGGCAGTGAAGCGGCGATCGCTGCAGCTGGCCACTGGATATTTCCATCCCGACGAGCGCCGATGGATCGACCAGGCGCCGAAGCCGAAGCAGTCGAAATCCGGGCGATCTTTGTGGAAATGGATGCGGCTTCGCGAGATTCAGGTAGGATTTCACCTCTCCTTGCCTCCATTCTCGTCTCGGTAGAAATATCGAGATTTTCGCATTCCTCGCTGGAATCCTTCCATCTTTGCGATTTTTATCTCCTTGGTTGCATTCTCCCGTCTTGGAACCTTTCTGGTTGTTTTTCTCTCTTGTGGCGAAGTTTTTCTCTCGCATTCTTGGCTCTCGTCCATCTTTGCGATTTGTTTCTAAAACTTTCCTTCTTCTTTTGTTGGCAAGGGATACAGGTGTGGATGAGAGACGGCGATCTGGAGAGCATTCGACGCAACGATCGAAGGATCGCATACATTAAGCGAGTGATGGAGTATCTGGTCAGTCACGAGAAGCAAGGAAGCGTTAACCTCCGAAAACTCCATGCAGTTGAAGGGCTGGACGACAATACCAAGCACGGGTTAAGAAGAAACGCGTGGAACTATCCGGGCTTCTTCACAGTCACGGTAAACAACAGGCAAAAGGAAGACTTGGTAGCTCTCACCGACGAGGCCAAGCAGCTCATGGAGGACGAGAGAAGAGCTCGATGGGATCGCGACGAGAGCTCTTGCGTCCAGATCCTCAAGAAGATACTGATGATGAGCCGGGACAGGAGGATCCGGCGATCGAAGCTCCACTGCCTACAAGAGTACTACGCGTTTCCATACGACTACAACACTGGTTTTCTCGAGAGGCACCCGGACCACATCCGTCTCGTGGAAACTCCCAAGGATTCCTACGTCGAGCTGGTTTCGTGGGACGAAGAACTGGCCGTGACGGAACGAGAGAAAGCTGTGGCTCAGGGAAGGACTCCCAAAGAGCTTGGACAATGGGCCTTCGTCATCTCATATCCGGAAGGCTACACTCCAAACAGGGTCCGGCTCGAGCAGCTCGACAATTTCCAGAGGTTGCCATTTCCATCGCCTTATGAGTTCTCCCAGCGGGCTTTCGACACTCCAGCGGGGCAGAAGGAGGCCCTCGGGATCTTCCACGAGCTCCTGAGCTTTACCGTGGAGAAGAGAGCGCTCGTCTCGGATTTCACCACCTTGGCTGGCAGTCTCAACATACCACGCTACTTCTCCGACTCGCTCCTGAGCTGCCACCCGGGGATCTTCTACGTGAGTAAGTGGAAGAACCAGCACTACGTTTTCCTGCGAGAGGCATACCGAGGAAAGAATCTGGTGGCCGAAGAAGTCGATCCCTTGGTAACCATCAGATGGCGCTACTTGGAGCTGATGAAGCCCAAGCCAGAGAAGCTACACTTGAGCTCTAGAGACGAGGACTACCTTTACGTACCAATCTCGAAGCGTGGGATCACGTCCAACCAAGGTAAGCTGTTTATCATAGTCGCAAAGGGAAGTAACGCATCGCCTCCTCTGACAGAATCCATGGGTTTAATCAGGAGCTTGTAACAAGTGCTGCGATCAAACAGGTTGACGAGACAAATCAGGTACTCTTAAGATCAAACGCGGTCCCAAGATGAAGCCGCGAGCGCAAACAAAATGACAAGACAACTCAGGTACTCTTTTTGTTCCAAGATAAAGCGAATGCCATGGCTTCTTCAGCTCCAAACAGACTTCCAAAGTCGTCCGGTAGATCATTGAGTTCTAGGAGGACAAAGGAAATCGAGCCAACCGGCAAGCCTACCATATACTCGTTCAAACATGGGAAGTATGTGTGCGTTTATTATTTTATCACCACCCGGATAACCGATGAACTGGCTATCACGCAAGGGCTTTGGGCAAGAGGTGCCGGGGTCGATTAGCCAGACGCCCAAACAAAACACGTGGCTCTAGTCTTTTTGCTAAATTATATTACTGTAAACGTGGTATTTTCTCAGTCCCGTAAAAGTAAAAAAAGATCTTAGCGTCTCTTTCCGCACCGATGATACACTCGCGGAGATACCCTTTTGATCTTTTTGATATGAGACGGTGTGGATTGATGCGAAGACGTTTTGGACTTGGCAGACATGGATGCGATCGAGGAGGGGAATGCCAGTTGCTGGATGTCTTGTGCTGTGAGTTGCATGGAGGTACATCGGAAGCTGGAATGCCCTCTTGATCTCCATGGCAAGACAAAACAGGCTACGGGGCAAGCTTAAGACATTGGAACTTAGGGCGCCTTGTTAGAACAGCACAAGTTAATTAGATGCATACTTTCGCCATCTCTCGTGTGCATGGAGATTCCGAGTGACGAGGTAATGAAGAAGAACGGTATGCACGTTTCCAGTCATCACAGCGGTCACATGTGACGTGGGTGATCTCGGTGACAAGAGTTGCTTTGATCCTCAGGGAGTTTTCAGTGGGCAGGAGTTAAGTCGATGTGTTGCAAAAAACGCTCTACGACTTGCCTTAACGAAGAAACTCTGAGAAAAAACAGGACCTATGATCCAAATCCTTGGACACATAAAAAGCGTATACATGTATTATCATCGCTGAGGTGCAGGGTCGAACACGAGGTTCTGTTTTCTACCATATAAAACGTGGCACCCTTCGATCCGCCAAAAGAAAAAGACAAAATTTTCTTGACAAAGACGATCCACGATGACTGAGGGCTTTTCATCTTGAAGCACGATGCATCGGTCCAATCTACTTTGCCACTGCTTTACTTAATAATTTGGCAAAGCTCTAACTGATCCATTGAGCCGTCGAAGCAGTAAGTTAGAGCGCTGGATCATCTGGGCGCGCGATCTCTGGCAGTAGCCAATTGCACATTTTCTATTTCATGGTGGGATTTCATCTTAAATGGTGGTTGGCGGCCATCCAACGGCCAGGGAGACGTTCTCCAGAGTTAGTAGAAAGGCGCGGTGGATGCGCATGAGCCTCTTGTTTTAGTCTCAGCGAAGCGTGTGGTTTTGGTGCAAAGCAACGCAGATATTTGCCCTGCGCTTCAAGGGTTTGAGCGAGGAAAGAAGGCGAGGCCGCGCAGCGCCTACATTCTTTTCTCTCGATCGCGATCGATCTTGTCCAGGTTCGAAATTTTGCGGTGATTGGCGGAATGATCTTCTGGAGGAAATGGAGGCGGCGCTGGAATTCCTGCTCGGTTGAGGTGCGTTGCCATTTGAAAATTTCTTTCGCTGCCGGATTTCTGGACTGAACTGGAAACAATAGTAGCGGTATGAGTTTCGTGAGAGGAGAGGAGAGGAGAGGCTCTCATTTGGTTTATGGAGGTACTGTGAAAGATATCTTTGCGCGATCAGAGCCTTTTTCTCGCGGCAGGTGTCCAATGGAGCAATCGGGCAGAGAGGAGGCGGTGGAGGAACGCTGCTTTGCATTCCCAGCGACACGCTCGCAGATGATAAACGGCTGAAGAAACGTTCGCGCAGGCTGCTCGTCTCGGATAGCACTGGTGAGTCCCACAACAATGCGAAGCGATCGGCAGCAATGTACTCCACAGCTTTCAACTTCAAGCTCCCGGGGACCACGAAAACTTATCCTGGGACCAGCACTACCAACAGCTCTTTGGACCCGCCAGTGGATTCATCGCGAATGCCGGAGCCGGAGTCGTGTGATCAGTCCAGGCACGAAACATGGGAGTTTGAGACGCTGGTCCCGTTTAGCTGCGAAACGCCATCGCTGCTGTCGTCGGACGTGATCTCCACGATCGACTACGATGAAACCGGACAGCTGATAGCTACTGGTGGGCTGGCGAGGAAGATCAGGATTTGCTCGTACCAGGAGCTAGTGAACGGGATGGGAAGGGAGTGTTTCCAGGGGCGCAACGTGAAAAACCTCTTCACCACCATTTGCATGCCGGCAAAGCTCAGCAGCCTCAAGTGGAGGCCGGGGGGCTCCGAGGTGATCGCTTGCGGTGACTACGATGGCTCGGTCACGGAGTGGGACGTAGAGCACGGGGTCACTGTGAGTGAAAGATACGAGCACACGGGACGAACAGTGTGGAGCATCGACTACAGCAGGGACTTCCGGGGCCTGCTAGCGTCGGCGTCGAGCGACAGCACCGTGAGGTTTTGGAGCAGGAATGTGGAGCGGAGCGTTGGGATCATCAAGTCCCTTAAGCGGAACTCGATGTGCTGCGTGGAGTTCGGCCGCTCCTCCGGTCCCTGCTGCTACGTTGCCGTGGCCTGCGCCGACGCGAGTGTGTATCTGTATGATATGCGGAGCCTGGGGAGCCCAGTCGCGACCCTGCGAGGCCACGAGAGGTCCGTGAGCTACGTGAGATGGCTGGGCGAGAACAGCTTGGTGTCCTCGTCTCCAGACGGCACGATTCGACTGTGGGATATCGCCTCGACAGTAACTGGTACCGGCGAGAGTTGGCACGCTCGGAACGACGAGCTGCCGATCGCGAGAACTTTTGGCTGTCACTCCAACACCAGGAACTTTGTTGGACTGTCCGTTGCGAGCTCCGGCGGCGGCTCCGGCGGGCTCATCGCGTCCGGGTCCGAGAACAACGAAGTTTTTGTGTACAGCTCTTCCGTCTCGGAGAGACCCGTCTTCCGGCACAAGTTCAACGATGCGGTCGTGCTGGATGATAAGGCCTTCGTGGGGTCGGTTTGCTGGACCAAGCAACAAGATCACTTGTCCTTGATCTCGGCAAACTCCGAAGGCATTGTGCAGGTTATACGGGCCACAACAACAGCAACAGCGCGACATACATGACACACTGCCGCTGCTGAGGTTGGGCTTTTCTTTTCACATTTTCTTACACTGAATAACGGGACGAGAGATTTTGCTTTTCCCCATTGGAAGAAAGATGGTGGACACAACTCGACACACAGGTATCACGTTTTACACACGGAATAACAGGAGTGGCTGTTTCATACGTAGCGCACACACACACACACACACACACACACACACACACACAGAGGCTTTAAGAGAGAAGAAAAATCGACTTGGAACCGAAACTCGCGAGTTAAATAAGTAAAAGAGCACAGCACTCAAAACAAAGACTGTTCTTGGTCAGTTGCCACTCAGGCCCGATCCATGTCTTCGATCGAAGCCTCCGCTAGAGTCCGCTGCTGCTGCTCCCGCTGGGGAGACGATCCGTTCGCAAGCTGAAGGGAGCATCCGAGCTCAACAGGAAGGGGCTGCTGCTGCTGCTGCTGCTGCTCTACCAAACAACTCTTTCCGGCCTCGATGAATCCAGCAGTGGGAGTTTGGACACCAAACAAGGGAGGCACCACAGGAGCAAATCCGAGCTGCTGCCCGTGATCTCTGACTGGAGTGTGGTGCCTGGAGCTGGAGACGTCGAGCGGATTCTCGGCCAGTGCCGGTGGCATTACCACCGCTTGCGAAGAACTCGGAGTGGTCGAGGAGGCCGGGACTGGGCTGGAAAGCCGAGCAGTGGCGGCAGCACCTCCGCGGCTTCCACCGGCAAATCTCACATTTGGAGCGATGTCGTTGGCGGTGGTGATCGGAACGCAAAGTCCCGGCCCAAACACGACGCCGCGGAGGATGGTGTCCGTCTCGCCCACCCGGACGGTGAGAATGTAGCCGGCGTCGAAGGAGCCGTCGAGCACGCCATGGACCGACTGGCCGACGAGCGACGCGTCCACTTGTGGGGGGCTCAGTGGGTCGATCTTCCTCTTCCGGACCTTCCTGGCGGGGGTTGGACCAACGCCACCATTGGTGCCCAGCTGCGGGCTGGCGGCGGCGGCGGCGGCGGCGGCGGCGATGGTGTCGCACTTCCGAGGCCGGCCTCTTCGTTTCTTCACTGGGGAGGCGGCGCCGCCCTCTTCCGGCGGCCGGGGGGTGCCGGTCTTGGGCGGATCAACGCCGGGAGCATCCACCATCGGCCTCAACTCGCGAGAAATAATCTGAGCAAAGAGGGAAGAAAACAGAAACCAGTTTCTGAGAGTCCACAGATTCAAAAACAAATCAAGGAACAGTGTGATTCTTTTCTTTCTTTTTGTTTGGAGCTCTAACGTGGAGTCAGCGAGGCATTCAGAGAACAAGGTAAACTGATGGTTCCCAAAACACCCAAGAAAAAAGAAATCCCAAGATCGATTAAGAAAATGAACAAGCACTTTGGCTCCCGGTCAAAAGAAACACAGGCAAACATTCCACGGCGCATGCGAAAGCGAGCCTCTTTTGACAAGGGAGACAAAGTCAATAGCAATGTAGCAACTGGAAAGATTCGATCTTGGCCAGCGGAAGCGCTCGCTAGGGTTTTGGGAGACAACAAAGAACCGAAGCAAGAAAACTGAAGAAGCAAGAAAACGCGAAGCAAGAAAATGCCCAAGAAGAGGAGAGAGAACAAGAACCTGTTGATCGCGATCAAGCGCGCTTCCTCCGCTCGCCCGCCACTCTCCCAAGCTTCTTTCTCCCCATGGCGGTAGCACGGGCACCAATGCGCGCGCCGCTAACCTTTGCTTACCGCTTAATTAATGTCACAGAATGTACACCCACACTAACAGAATATCCTCCTAGCAGACAGAATATACGACATTGGTATATGCCATCTGATCTTTTTAAATTTAAATTTTGGGGTTTAGGAGTTTAGGGTTCTTCGATAGAAACGCTTCATCTTTACATTTTGGAGAGGTAGTGGTAGACTCCCCGGCCGGATTTGCGCCCCAGCCAGCCAGCGTCCACGTACTGGGCGAGCAGCGGGCAGGGGCGGTACTTGGCGTCGCCCAGGCCGGCGTGGAGGACGCCCATGATCGACAAGCAAGTGTCGAGGCCGATGAAATCCGCGAGCGCCAGCGGCCCCATGGGCTGGTTCGTCCCGAGCTTCATGGCCGTGTCGATCTCCTCCGCGCTGCTCACGCCCTCGAGCAGCGCGTAGAACGCCTCGTTGATCATCGGCATGAGGATCCGGTTGACGACGAAGCCCGGGAAGTCGCGGGAGCTCACCACCGTCTTGCCGAATCTATCCGGGGTGATCAGCTTAGCTTCTATAAGATGGGTGCTGCTCTCTTACCTCTCCGCGAGCTCCTTGGTCTGCTCAAAAACTTCGTCCGCGGTTGCCAGGCCCCGGACGATCTCCACGAGCTTCATCAATGGCGGCGGGTTCATGAAATGCATGCCAATCACCTGTTGGAAAGAACAGAACTCTAGAGCTTGACACTTCTTAGAACAAGGAGGAGATCACTTACTTGCTGAGGACGTTGCGTAGAGGCAGCCAGCCTTGTGATCGAGATGGAGCTCGTGTTTGACGCCAGGATCGCCGACGGCTTGAGCAGCCTATCCAGCTCCGAGAAAATCCCCTTCTTCACATTCTCTCGCTCGGAGACAGCCTCGATCACCACATCCGCCGAGCTCATGTCAGCCAGAGAAGTGGTCGTCGACACGCGCGCCAGAGTCGCATTCGCTTCATCCTGCCAGCGATCAATCAATCTCCCCTTCCTGGATGCGCTACAATTCATTTACCTCCGAGATGACGCCCTTCTTCACGAATCTCGCCAGCGACGAGGAAATGCTCTGCAAGCCCCTCGTCAGAGCCGCGCCGTCGGAGTCCGCCATCACCACGGCCATCTGCGCGGCGGCCGCGAGCTGCGCGATTCCAGCCCCCATTTGCCCTGCGCCTACCACGCCCACGACCCTGACGATCGCCATAGCGCACAGGGCTCATGATCCGAAGAACCCTAAACACAGAGCATTTAGTTTGAAGGAATCGAACCCTCGTCGTCTTTTACCCCTTTTAATCATGACTAAAAGGTCGTTTTTTTAACGGAATTATCATTTCGAAAGAATATCTTCCGTGCTAGGGCTAGCTATGGCGAGCACGATGCGGCCAGCGCCTCCCGTGTGCTTGTGCGGCGATGGCGCGGCTTCGTCTAGCAGCTGGACATGGGTGGGAAGAAGCCGAATTTCATTCTCCGCGGTAAGGAGGCCTCGCATTTTCGATTTGGCGATCAGAAGGAAGAATCGTGTTCTCAAGTGCGTGGCGGCAAAGGCAGAGACGGAGCTGGACGGTGGGAGCTCGAGTGGAACCACTGTGGAGGAGGCGCCACCGGGTAAGCTCCAAATTCCAACGAAAATTCTAGCAATCTCTTTTGTCCATTCGCTAAACAGCTCCAAGCACAAGGCCTGATGAAAAAATCTCGAGCACGATCTCTCAAGACTCGTCATCTCCAATTTCGTCTTGGCTCTATCCCGACAAGGAGGACCTCCCCGACGACAAAGAGATGACAATCTTTGAACACTTGGAAGAGCTTCGGGAGCGTTTGCTCTTGTCGGTCGGAGCCGTGGGAGTGGCAATGCTTGGCTGCTTTGCCTTCGCTAAAGATCTCATCATGTACTTGGAATCACCAGCACACGTACAAGGCGTTCGTTTCCTCCAACTCTCACCCGGCGAGTATTTCTTCACAACTCTAAAGGTATGCTCGCGGTTCTAGAGTTGCAATAATGAGATCTATCTGCTTTCTCGTTTCACAGGTCTCTGGTTACTGCGGACTTCTCATCGCCAGCCCAGTCATTCTGTACGAGATCATCGCGTTTGTAGTCCCGGGGCTAACTCTGAGCGAGAGAAAGTTCCTGGGGCCTATTGTTCTCGGATCGTCCATTCTCTTCTACGCAGGATTGGCGTTCTCCTACTCGGTGTTGACTCCGGCAGCGCTAAACTTCTTCGTTTCCTACGCCGAAGGAGTGGTAGAATCGATCTGGTCGATCGACCAGTACTTTGAGTTCATCCTCGTGCTCATGTTTAGCACAGGTCTCGCCTTCCAGGTTCGTGATGAGGTTTCTTACGTCTTTGGTTCCAAGGTTCCGTGGTTTCCAGGTTCCAGTGATACAACTTTTACTGGGACAAACCAAGCTTGTCACTGGCGATCAAATGCTATCGGTGTGGAGATATGTTGTTGTCGGTGCTGTTGTTGCTGCTGCAGTTCTCACGCCCTCTACAGATCCGCTAACGCAGATCCTTTTGGCCGGTCCCTTGATTGGACTGTACCTGGGTGGGGCATCTCTCGTCAAGTTACTCCAAGCTGGAGAGACTTCCTGAGACACATACAAATTCTAACTATATTTATTAAAACATGTCTATAATTTTAAACATTTATGAGAGGAAATTATTTTCTTTAATAGAAATTTAATATAAACATTACCTTAAGTAGCACATAAGTAATGGTTTCTTGTATTAGAAGTCTACAAAACATTATTAGGAAATTTTGTCATATAAATGACAAGGCTACAATCATCTTGAATGGACAAAAATGTTGATGATATACATAATGGTTGATTATTCAATAATTATTGTTTATATTCCATATTACTTTTATGCCATTAAATAAAACGACATTTCCATTCTTTTGTACAACTAAATAACAAATAAAAAAATTTCCTTTTACCTGTTTCTTATATTTTATTATTTTTTGAATATAGAATAAGATTACAGTCAAACTCTAAAATTAATATATTTTTCTTATTTGGAGAAATTAAAAACTCATCAGAAGAAAAATGCAATCCATGATATAATGTATCATTCATTTGAACTTTCCAAATTATAAGATTCATAAAATAAAGATAATAATTCAGTATGTTCATTTAATTCATATTTATAACATATTTAGTACTTTCGCTTCCATAAAAGTTTGCAAGTACTTCATTCATTTGAGCTACACTTTTTTCTAAAATACTATTAAGACCTTGGAGAATAAGATAACCTGAAATTGTTGAACATTTATCATGACATGACTAACGTTTAGTTATTACATCAACAAGCCCTTTTGAGGTAGATACTTGCAATAGTGTAAAACATAAATATAACAGAAATATAGAATAAATTTTTAGCTTTAATTTTAATCATATTATAGCTTATTATTATTATCACATATTAGTGTTTTATTATTTAAAAACTTATATTAAAATTGATTTCTTAAAGAGAATATTATAATATAAATTTAGTCTTGTACTTGTATGTATTTCTATAAATATATATAAATACTAGAATTATATATTAAGATAGAATGGATCCTTGCTTAAAATTCAAACCTCTATGCTATATATTTGTTTTACTTATTCAGATTCAAAGTTCTAATATACTTGCAACTTTCCATTCTTGATGGAGTATATTTCTGTCATCATTGCTCCCAATGGGACTTGCATCTCAAACCTTCATGAGATTCAAACTTAAAAAACCTATAATGTGCATAAATTTATTGATTAGCTTTAATTAATTTTAGAGTTTGTACTGAGAGTATTCATCTTTTTCTCAAAGATGAGCTTCTAAGAGTTTGAATATTCTTTGATAAATAGCATTTCATTTCCATATCCTCTTAGTGGAAGATCAAGCTTATAATGAATATTATATTGGAATGATGGTTGTGCTGAGAGTCAATTATAACATGATGAAGCAACTATATCCTCAGCACATGCCAACTTGATGCTTATTAATATACAATTGCAAGAGGAATTCATTTACAAGTATCCCAATAGGTTCATCTAATATATTTGAGTGTGAAATATGTAGTGCTCAAGTGGTGAAGGCATATGTTCATTCTCTTCACCAAATTTTGGCTCACAAGTGCTTAAAGAAGCTAGACAAAGACATATAATATACCATCAATTAGAAATACAAAAGGTTACTTTAAGCCCCAACACAACTACATCTTAAAGTCATATGTGGTGCTCAACTCCCTCATCATTATGATGGCCTTCACAATGTCATAATCCCATAGAATATGCTTCATGGTTTCCACTACCCTACATCCCTTGCATTTTGAAGGTCATTAAGAGACTCAGGGGAAATGCCAAGGGTGTCAAGAAGGCCTCAAACAACTATAATGGGTGGTCAAGGCATTAGATTCTTTAAAGAGGAAAATTTCCAAAATGAAGGATTTGCAATGTATTAAGATAAATAGCCATATAATGATTTTGCCTCCTTCCATAAGGTTAAAAAGCCTCACAGAAGAAGAGTTCATTGATTCCAATTGATATTTGGTAAAAGAAATTGAGGATGAAGCAATTTCACAATGCTATAGCAAAAGGTTCCTCCAAATGAAAATGGATGGAATTGTGAGGTCTTTTGAAATTTAGCTATAATGACCATAGGAAATAAAGATTATAGTTTCCATTACTGGAAAGTTCTAATAGTGAAGATGTCAAATGGCCAAAGGCATATAAACAGAGGATGCAACTAAAACGTGAAACATTTGCTTTAGAAACTAATCAACCTGCAATTGAAGGGGTTGAGAGGATATGGGGAATGACTCTATATCCTTTGATAGAAGAACTTTTTTTTTAGTCAGGGTGTAAAAAAATTGAATAGAATATATGTCTGAATGAGAATTTTCATATCTTAGTTGTCTATAGCTCTCTGTCTAGAATGTCTAATCATAAGAGGCTATTAATTCATCCTCTTAAGATGTTTTAAAGGTTAGGATGTTTTGTTGCACCATGTGAACAAGATACTACCATCTTTGATAAATTCAAATTACTTAGATTCAAAGAAAATGGTAAATTAGATTAATCAAGATTGGTTAACAACCCCCTTCACAATAAAATAAGTGAATGGTTGGTCAGCCTATAATACAATGCTATGGATTATGAGTACAATGTCCACTATACCAATTAGAATTTAGCAAAATTCCTCAAGGGAAGAGTTTCTGGGGCATCTAAGAGGATGTGAGTTTGGGTTGAGTTGGTTTAAACAAAGTTTAGCAATTGGTTCCTCAACTTAAATAGTTGAAGACTTCAGTATAAGCTTGCCATGAGGATATAGAAGGACAATAAAGTTGTCTAGACTTTTGTAAATGCTCTTTATAGTGCTATTGGGGCTATTTATGGTCATTAATTGACATTTGAGAGACTATTTTGTGAAAGAATTGAAGTTTAGACCAAAAGTTCCAACTTGAAGGTCGAGAGTAAGAGTGGAACTAAAAAAAAAGCACTTAAGGAATGTGTAAACAACTAATTTTTCCATTCTACTTTAGTCACTTAACCACACCTCCGACCACTTGGAAAAGTTTCACTCACAACCTTCATAAGTCTTATTTTGGACTTGGGCTTGCTAACCTCGAGAATGGCATCCCTACCACTCAATCTTTGCACTTGGTCCAAGTGCTTCACATGTCCAATCCCATGACCGAAACCCCAAAGTACCACCGACATATTAGCCCATTATGCTAAGGCCATGCCCACTCACCTTGGTCACATCGGTGGTTTGACACCATCTACATCATAGTCCCATCTCTCAAAGACTAGGCCATCTGTCTATGAGTGATCATCCCAGATCCACTCCTTAGCATCCTTAGGATGCCTATAGATATGGGGGATAGCCTTCCCCAATATCCCCTTTATGGTCCCCACCAAGTCCCTTTCTGCCCATGGCCATGTTCACCAACACTGCCACTGGATCAAGGCCCACAGGCCCGACCACTAAGTCCCACGGTCCTCTGGGACTTCCTTCTCACATGACCGTATCCTTGGTCTCTACACTATAGGACGGCTCTTCTTCCTTTTCACAATCTGGGACCTTGGGGCAACATTTCGGAATACCATGGCCTTATGCAAGCCTCGTGGGTACTCTCCCCGCCTTCCGCCTTTGGGTGCTGTAGCTGTGGGCTTAGAGTGAGGTTCCCTTGAGCCACACTAGGTATCCAAGTAGGTAGTGCCACCCAAACTTGGACTAGGAGCATCAATCAGTCAATCTCCCGGGGGAACTAGAGTCGGCTCTTGAACACTTCACCAAGCTACCCTGTTTGTCAGTTTGTGTTCACTCTAGTCTTGGACTTCCCAGTGGGCAGCTCATCACCCAACACTAGTTACAGCCTTCCTGGGCTAAACTGGCCTTTCCTAGCCAAACTGGCTCCACTGTAGTCCTCCCCCTTACTATACTTTTGGAGCTCACCAAATCCCCCAGGGTCTAGGAGACGAATGCTTTGGGCTTTCACCCTCTCAGACTCAAACTTGGACTCGGACTTGGACTCGGACTCGAACTCGGCCTCGGTCTCGGCCTTGGTCTCGGTCTCGGTCCCGATCTTAGTCTCGGTCTCGGTCTTGGTCCCAGTCTTGGTCTCGGTCTCGGTCTTGGTCTCGGTCTCGACCTCGGACTCCATCTCAGGTCCTTCTCAGACTCCATCTCGGATTCCATCTCGGGTCCATCTCGAACTCCATCTCGGACTCCGTCTCGGTCCATCTCGGACTCCATCTCGGGTCCATCTCAAACTCCATCTCGGACTCCGTCTCGGTCCATCTCGGACTCCATCTCGGACTCCATCTCGGTCCATCTCGGACTCCATCTTAGACTCCATCTTGGGTCTCTTTTTAGAGCCTCGCTTATTGCTCACTTCGTGCTCATTCCTTGAGCACTTTGTTAGGAGTTCCACTCCTGCTCTCGACCTTTCAAGTCGGAGCTTTTAGTCCAAATGTGTTACGCTCGTTTGGCTTTCGCTTCAACCATTACCATGTGGTGCCCTTCCGGCTCCATTTTGGGGCCTAGGGATTTTGTGTCTCACAGAATGAGTATGAAGTGATTGATAAATAAGTCTCTAGAAAGGAATAAAAGAATGACTGACACATATTAAGTGTTGTCACACATGGAAGTGTTGAGATTGAGTCTGAGTTGAGTCCAAGACCAAGACTAAGACAAAGTTTGATGCTTAATTTGAGTTCAAGATCAAGTCTGAGACCAAGTCTGAAACCAAGTTCGAGACCAAATCTGAGTTCGAATTCGAGGGGTAAAAGCCCAAAGTAATCATCTTTTAGACCTTAGAGGTTTGGTAAATCTTTGTGGGATAGTAGGAGGAGGATTTTAAGGGAATTAGTGTGACTAAAAAAGGTTATACTCTTGTGGTGAATAATGATATGAATACAAAGGAGTCCAAAGTTGGGATATACATGGATGAATAAGTGGGGTGACTTAATGAAGTGTTTAAAAGCCAACTCTAATTTCTCCAAGAGATTGGATGATTAATACTCCCAATCCTAACACTACCTACTTAAATACTTTGAGTGGCTCATTAAAACCTATATGGCTAGGGCACTCTAGTGGTTAAAAGTAGGAAAAGTACCTATAAAGTTTATTGTTGCAAATGTGACTATGGAGATTGAAAATTATTAATCAGTGAGTCATTTTGGATATTCTTTCTTTATTGCCACAATGGCAAGAGGTCGATATTGTTAAACCTTTTATTAGTCTTTTGTTCAAGTGTTAGTAAACTTAACTTAACATTTGTACTTAGCCAGACGAGTATAAAGAAGGAATTCCTAAGTGTCTATTTAACCAAACATACCTGGTCTAGTTTGTTAGTTCTTTTCTACTTTATGCTTTACTGGCTTGACAAGAACCCCTACAATATTGAGTTTAGTTCCTTAATACTTGTTAAATAATAGCTTATTGTATTTGCTAAACACCCTCGCTATCATGCCTTATGTGTTTGTCCCATTCAGTTCCATTAGCTATTTATGGAAAGTGTTTAAATCTGTGAGTTAGGCATATCTATGGAATGTAGAGCTTGTTGGTATTAAATTCACAATCTAGCACTATTCCATATATAATAAGTTCTTGTGATTATCTCAGAGACTAACTCTTAGAATTGGGGTGAAAGCCCAAAGTATGCATTCCTTTGGGGAGGGGGGAAGTTGTGAGGGGTCCAAATGTATAGTAGGGATAATGGGTAGGTCAAGCATAGCCAACCAACCTGAAGCATAATTTAGCTCTTGTTTGTATATATGTCTTTATTCTGTGTTTGGCTTGGGTCTAAGCCCAAGCTCCATACCATGTTAATTGATGGAGTACCTATATCCTCTCATTAAACTACTAAAATGCTGAAATAACATTAAACTTTATTTAACTATAATTTGCAAGCTAGTCTTGGCATTAGGATGCTAAATGCTCTAAGATTGTTCTTATGTCGCTCCGTGCTCATGTCCTTTTGTTCTTTGAGCTATACTCTAGGGAGTTGTTCCGTGCTTTGCTTCCTTCACTCCTTAGCTCTATGCTTACTTCATTCAATGGCTCAAGGACTTGAAACTTGAGTTCTACTCTGTTGTCATTGGACACATGGCATGTGGCATATGGCATATAGAGTGTTTAAGTTTTACTTTATGGTTATTCTATAGTAAATCGCTATAGGATAAAAAGTGAAAACCACATGCATTACACTTATATTTGGCCTATCATCCTAATTTTTTTGATTGTGGAAATAAAGAAAAACAGTGAGGTGCTATATTGACTTCACATTTGGTTAAAGTGCTTGGGTCTAAAAGTATGTCCTACTAACATTTGGAACTTCCTCACTACATAATTTGAAATCATCTCTAGGGGTTAGTAAGTGCCCTAAATTGGGATGAAGATATATAGAGGTTTCTCTTCAAGTGGTTAAAGATGTAAAGTAAAATGGAAAATTTGAGTTATATGTATAAGCTATGACTCAAGTAATTGAGTTTGAGAAAAAAATTCCTAAGCCGATCAAGGCAATGAAATCAACAGACAAAAAAAAGACTATAGGGATGTTATTTCAAAAAAAGCTACATGGAGGTAATATGTATTACAATATGTGATATTAGCTTGAAGATGGGTCAAATAAACATTCAATCCATAGGAGATGTGAAAAATGCCTAGAATGTAATGCACTTTATCTCTCTAATTGGAAAAAGGGTAATTGCTTAATGAAAGAGCCCTTAATGGCTATTTTATCCCCATTTATCCCCTAAGGTTCCAAGGATCCACGGTGATAGTATATCCAAATCTCATCCCATGATCACATGTGCTACACTCACCACAGTATATCCAAATCTCATCCCATGATCACATGCGCTACACTCACTACAGTATATCCAAATCTTATCCCATGATCACATACGTTACGCTCACCACAGTATATCTAAATCTCATCTATGATCACATCTATGATCATATGGATTACACTCACCCCCCCTTCAAAGATGTCAATATCCTCATTAACTATTGACTAACAACCCCTACTGAGCCAAGGGGAACCAACACTTCCATTTCCGCACTTAATCTACCAATCCTTCCATTGTCAATCGAACCATTGTCAATATCCTCATTGACTATTGACTAACAACCCCTACTGAGCCAAGGGGAACTAACATTTCCATTTCCGCACTTAATCTACCAATCCTTCCATTGTCAATCGAACCATTAGCACCCATGCATCATTCTACCAATCCTTCCATTGTCAATCGAACTATTGTCAATCCATTTCCGTCGAACTATTGTCAATCCATTTCCGCACTTAATCTACCAATCCTTCCATTGTCAATTGAACCATTGGCATCCATGCATCATTCTACCAATCCTTCAATTGTTAATCGAACCATTGTCAATCCATGCATGATGCATGGATGCCTAATACGTAAAATTTCAAATTTAGGGATAAGAATATACTTTGCTCAAGAGTATATTATATTTTTAAGTAGCCATTAATTAATGGGAATCGAACCCGTGCCATTTTCTCTGATACCAACTGTAGCGCACATTATCTCTCTTCTCTTAAGCCAACTGGAAAAGGGGCAATTGCTTGATGAGAGAGCCCTTAGTAGTTATTTTATCTTTATTTATCCCCCAAGGTTTTAAGGATCCATGGTGACAGTATATCCAAATCTCATCCCATGATCACATGTGTTACACTAGAATAAGGTCTTTATAATAACATTAAAGTAAGAGAACTTGGTATTTGTCCAATAAACCCAATGCTAGACAATGAAAGTTCTTCCAGAGAAGCGAGTTAGCCAAAAGAATTTAAATGGGGCCATATATACCTCTATTGAAAGAAAGGTCCAATTTTTAGAGGTTATCTTAGGAATTTAGTTGTTATGAATGTGATTACAAGTATTAAAAGTTACTTGGTGGTAAAAATTTTTGGATATTCTTTCCTTATTGCCACAATAGCAGAAAGTCAGTATCATTGGTTTCCTTTGTTAGTTGAAAAATTAGTCATCATGTATATACCTATCCTAGATAAACATAAGGTAGAAACTCTTATGTGTTTTGTGCTGAGCATAGTCAATTTAGGTTGAAAAACTTATATGTTGACTTACACTTGCTAATGTTGGGAACTTGTGATATTAAGCTTGGTCCCTCAATACTCACAAAGTGATAGCTTACCATATTTATTTAATAAGTTTTTATGATTATCCCAAAAACTAACTTTTGGGACTAAGATGAAAGCCCAAAGCGTGCATTCCTCTAATAGGGGGGGGAGGGGGGGTATAGGGGGTTCCAAATATACAATTAGGTCAGGGGTATGGTTAACCAACTTGAGATATATTTTAATTCCCATTTGTGTACTTGTCTTTATTTTGGGTCTAACTTGGGTCTAGGCCCAAGTTCCATACCATGGTAGCTAATGTTGTATCCATTTCCTCAAATTAGGCCATTTATATGTTAAAATAACAATTCCATTTGGCTTTATTTTGTATGCTAGATGCTGGAAGCTTTAAGATTGCTCTAACATCATTTTGTGCTTCTGTCCCTTCACCCCTTGGGGTTGTACGCTTAAGAGTCACTCCATACTCCTATTATTTTACTTCTTAGATTATAAACTTAAGAGTTATTTTATGCTTTAGTTTCCTACGCTCTTTAGCTATATGTTGAAGAATTTGGCTCCATCTCTTCGTTTAGTGGGTTAAGGCCTTGAACTCAAGTTCCACTCCACTACCCTTGGCCCATATGTCCAAGGGTTAAGAATTTGCTCTATGGTTATTCTATGATAAACCACTATAGAGTAGGGTGAAACCACATGTATTACACTAGTGTAAATGCCTCAAATGGCCATAAAGGATAGCTGTAACAACAATGTTAATATTGCAATACATGTTATTTATGCTGCCAAGGAAGGAAGTGAACTCACCTTCATTGACCCATGTCACTAACAAATATTCTACCACATGATTAATTGTATGATGAGCTCCTTTAAGAATGCTGAAACATGAAGTCAATAAGAATTCCAAGTAGAGATCTAAGGACCTATAGAGCCCTCAATCAAGTACACACACAACCATAAAATTCAAGAAACCTTATTTATTAGAAATTTACCCAACCAAGAAAATGTGGTGCCCTATTAATTTTACAGCTATCAACATAGTATCTGCCAAAACCAAAGACTATGGCATACAAATTCTACTGCATGCTCCATGTAAGAATTTAGTGAGTTGCAATAAGAGTAAATAAAGATTAATTCATCAAATTGCTTGAAGATGCCCTATTACTAATAGCTGACTATGAACTATAATCAAAACCCTCCGAAACACTAAAACTCATTAAAACTGAATGTAATCTCCTCATCTTCTCACTAAGAACACTTTAAAAAAATTTAAAACACTTTTAAACAATTAAGGACTCTAAGAAAGGAGTTTAACCCTTTTTTGTCATTGCCTTTCTTCTTATAATTAGCCCTCCCATTAATTTCCTCCAAATCCTTATTCTCCTTTAGCATAAATTCTCCTCTCATAAAACTCCTAGGGAATATGTGCATATCTCCACATCACACCCTAAATACCACATCAATTAAAAATGCTGTTGGACAACTCAAATAAAAGACTCACATTTTCTATAAACCCTATCCTCCCCATGTCAAGAAGCTTTCCATCTGTAGACTAAACCATTAAGAACATATCAGATTTTTGGTTTGTCTCACTCAATTCACTAAAGCTCCCATTAACCTCCCTGTGCCATTTGTAGGCTGTTCCTGTAGCATTCATTTGTTTGTAGGGAGTTTAAAAATCAATTCAAACCTGTAAGGAAGAATCCAAATCCTGTAGTGTAAATGGCTCCCCCTCGAAAGTTGCTCCTTTCTCCTTGAGAGTCTTCTCCATGAACTGAGACCAGTCAAAATTTTAGATCCGAAAGTGCTCACAACCCAATCAAACCTCCTGCGTGATGTTTTCATGCACAACTAGCTGCTCAACCAAGGCTTCAAGCACTTGTTTGTTTCGTGCCAGAATTTGGCTGGCTCGGTCACAAGCAACAGTGAGAAGCTGCCACCAAAACAAGAGTAAGAAAACACAAGACTGGTGCATTGTAATGATCAATTACCTTCGTGACCTTTCTCTCTATCACCGTCATCTCCTGCAAGCCCATATCCATTGGGCCCTCCTGTTCATCAAACAAAGATAAGAAAGCTTCAAGATTTTCATTCTAGGGCTCACCCCTTTGCTACGGTACACCATCGGACTGTCATCCAAAGCCCATCCATACTCCATGACCATGTCCGCCGCAATCTACACCAAACAGTTCCCCTGGCAAATGAGTAAGAAAAAAGTTTAGTAGCTCAACCTGCTTGGCCTCTTCAAGCTGTGGTTCTGCAAGGTTGTTCCTGTCCAGGACCGGCATTAGCATGCAGCATGCTACGTGAGAGGCATAGCATAAAACTAGTTTTTTCTCAAGGTAGTTTCTGGTCTGCGTGTGCGTTTCCAGATATCCTTCTTCAACTCTCCTTGTTAGCCTCGTCCATGCAATCCCCTGACATGGAAGAACTTGGAAATAAAAATGATTTCCTTGAAACATACAACTTGTACCTCCCACGATGTTTCGTCTAGCCATATGTATTCGACAATATCAAAGTTGGGAAGCAAACGCGCAAGCAAGCCTCGAGCAGCAGCCCATACCGCGTGAGGATACTTCGTTTCTCTCGTCCACTGCCGCAAGAGTTACAGCCAGGACAAGAAAAACACATCGGGAAAAACACGTATTTACCGGATAAAGAGGATCGTGGAACTCGATTCCTGGCTTTGATCTGCCTCGCACGTCCATATACCGAACAGTCATTTCGAAATCCTCCTTCGTAACACGGAGGCCGAGCCAATCAATCACGCTCTGATCCCATTTCTTGAGGAGAGGTGTCTTCCTAATCCATTCTGGTACTATTTTGTTATATTTCTGCAAAACAAACAAAAAAAAAAACATAAGTTGGTGCACTGTAGAAAAGCAGTATACGTTACATCTAATATGCACAGATAACTAAAAAGCTCTTCCTCGTCTTTGGTTTTCCAGTGGGTAGCGCATTGTTGCAAATTAACGGGAATAGGCTCAAGGTCAACATAAGTAAGGCCTTCTGTCTTCTCTGCTACCTGGACGAGAAAGCATTCTAACCAGTTAAGTGAAATTTATACACGCGAGAACTAACCTCTGCCCAATTTACCCAGTCAACCACATGGGGAAACATGGTGTTCCGAGCAATCAGACGAAGCATTTGCTCACGCTGAGTTCTGTTGGGCGGAAGCAATTTAATTGTCCTATCCATTCGCCCCGGTCTACGCAGAGCTTCATCTATCCTCTCAGGATGGCTAGTTGTAGCAAGTACAACCACGCCTTCCTGTGTTTCAAACCTGAAAAAAATTGCCAGTAAGTTAGAACAGGGAAAATTTACATCAAACAAAGAAGCCATACCCATCAAGCTCAACGAGCATTTGATTTATCAGAGTCTCCAGCTCCTGTGTGTCTAAATGCATGGTCTCTCCCCGCTTGCCAACGAAGTCGTCAAAGTCGTCCATGAAGAGGATAATAGGTGCCTGCTCAAAGGCAATTAATCAAGCGCGACAGCAGCCTAAAGTGAAGACTTACAAACTGTCGGGCCGTCTTAAAAAGCTCACGAACATTTGCAGCCTTTTGCCCGACCCATTCCCCTCCGCCTTGCAAGTCAAAGCTTTGCAGCTCAACGACTGGAACTCGCGCTTCGGATGCGATCGCTCGAGCCAGTGTCGTCTTTCCGGTTCCTGTTTCTCCTACAATGATAACGCCCTGCAGAACATAAATAAAGCTCAAGCGGCCGATAGAAAAACAACTACGACAAAGTTATTACCCGCGGAGCCCGTGCACCTAATTTTTTGAAAGCTCCCGGATCTCTCAGGAAGCTGACGACTTCATCTACCTCTTCTCTAAAAGTCTCAATACCAACAAAATCGTTTAGCGAGACTGGTGGCTTTCGTATTCTCTGTGAATAAAAAGTGATCAGTTTACCGACCAAAATCCACATAAGAGCCTTACCTTCATCTTATCAAACACTCTCTTGATAGGATTTGTAGTTACTTGCTTCAGAAGAGGTGTCATCTCTTTGTAGACCTTCATATGTAGTTCCACAGCTTTGTCATACTGAGACTTAGGCAGTGGAGGAGGTCCAATAAAACGATAAATAGCTTTTGCCACCCGTGTTACGACAAACAAGAGCGGAACACCAACCACGTAGATACGAAGTGGAAGATCCATCCAAAACGGCAACGCGATCTGACGAGCATCAAACTTAGCCTGGGCTGCCGTCTGCCATTTCATAAGAAATGTCGGTTCAAGAAACTCTGACCCCTTTGGTAGTTCAAACCCAATCATTTCTCGTACCTGTCATAAGAAGTTTGTAAAATGAACACAAGAAAACGCGACAACACACTGACCAGGCGAGGAAGCTTAAGAATTGCCGGGTAACCGAATCGCACCATCAGTTCTCCCAAGAGAGCGTCAAGGCTTTCAAAGTATAAGTCTCTAGCTGCTGCAACGACGCCCAAGTTCCATACGTACAAAACAGCGTCTATCAGCATGACGAAAGGAAGCCTGATCAACTGGAAAGCGGACCACTCTCGTAAAGGTATCCACATTTTTTCCATCACTGTAGGGATTTTGTTCTCCTTTAACATGGCATAAAACGCGTCGAAGCCACCAACGTCTTCCAACCTTTCGTTCAGATCCTAAACAAGATTGAAAAAGAAAATCTGATCACCAAAACAAGGAAATTACAGTTTACTTACCTCGACATTGACAACGTACTCTTGATCGTCACCTTTGAGGCCCACAAAGATGACACGAAGGTCATGCCGAATTCTTACGTGATGGACGAGATTCTTCTCTACAGCATACATGGCCGCTGCGTCTGACATCTCCCACCGCCGAGATTTCTCATTATACCAAGTGTTCTGGAGAACTCTATCCCTCGCTAAAAGCAATTTCTCCTACAGAAGAAAATTAGAAAAAACAAAACTACAAATCGAAAGTAAGATACCTGCTGCTCTTGAATATATTTCTTGCCAGCCTCCGGATGGTCGAGCAAGTGCTGCTTTAATTCTTCTTTCTTGATCGAGCACCACTTCCGCCATCCCAAAATTGTCTTCACGGCTTCAGGGCCCGGAACGTCTGAAACGCTTCCCCCTAGAGCAGAATAAAGTTCGATCGATCCTAGTTTTCCGTCAACAGCCGACACTGCTTTTCTTTCATCGGAACCAGCAAACTCGATATGCCTTCGAAGCAATTCATCCACCTCAGATTTCACGGTACTGTCGACTGGCACTACGCCTTTCTCCTGTTTGTCTAAAGCCAGTGGCAAAATACTTTCCTCCCATATTTCTTTCCCTGACGCTCTAAGATCGTTCGCTATGCGTGACTCTAGACGTTCGGGCAGCCGGAACCTGAACAGAACGGAATTCTTTAGTGTCTCGCTCACTCCAACAGGCACTCTTACTTGGCAGCCTCCTCGAGCTCCGCAGCAAAAATGGCAGTAAAGTTTGGTATTTCGTGCCACGCCCTCAGCCACCCCTCGTACTCGGATCCCACAAGCTCCGCTTTCACGTTCACAATTTTAGCTCTCAGCTCCTCGGTCTTTGAAAAGAATAGCGATTCCTGAGCATCGACTTGGTCATCCGATTCCGACTTCGGAGAGAAGGCCTTCGTTGAGCCACCTAGATCGTCCTCTGCTGGTTGCGTTTCCGCAGCGTCAAACTTCTTTCTCAAACCAGGAAAGCCATCCATAGCCTCGTTGAGCTCCTTCATCAGGGACGCTTCTTCCTTCCTCAGCTTAGCCAGGTGCGAGCTCGTCTTTAGCAAAACCTCTCCTTGCAACCTTCGAGCTCCCATCGTCAACTTTCGCCGGGCTTGCACTAGAGCCTCGCGGACTCTAAATTCCACCTCGAGGCTTCGGGCTTCGGACTTCCCAGCCAGTTCCTCAATCTCTTTCAGCATGTCCTTGACACCAAGAACTTCCCTGTACATCAATTCCCTCTCTTCGATTCCCTGCCGGAACTTCTCAAACCTCTTGTCCAAGCCATAGATCTCAAGCAATCTCTTCCTCATCGGTCCCATCTGCTCCATCTCTCTATGAAACCCGTCCTTCCACTCCACAAATCTAGAATGTAAATCCGCGGCTGTGATCTTCTGCTCTTCCTCCTCTCCCACAAAAGCAGGAGCAGCAAACGCCGGGCGATGAGCTCCCAAGGCAGCCAGAGCGACAACAGCGATTCCAACCCCCAAAATCTTCGCCAAGCTCCCAAGCCAGCTAGAATCCCGTCGCTCGATGGACGGCAAATCCGCAGGAAAATCGGCTGCCCGTCGCCTGGGAGCGCTGCGAAGCCGCTCTACCGCGAGAGTATGCCCTGCATTGCTCCCTGCCTTCGCTCTGACAAGAATCTTACCCCGGCGAGACGAATGCGGGGCAGGAATCCTGCTCCGGGCGCTCGGATTCGTCGGGCACGCCAGCAAGAGCAGCGATACGGCTCCCATCGCGCATCCCCGTCGCTCAAACCCCAGCCATGCCTGTGTAAACCCTAAACCTCAACCAAGCAGTCACTAATATCGACGGCTGTAATGCTTCCACGTGGAGGTGGGAAATCGCGGCTCAAACTCAGGCGTCCAAATATAACAAACCCCTGTTTAAACCCTAACACCGTTCACACATTTTTTTGTTCTTCTTCCTCTTCTTCTTTCTTCGCGCGAGGCGCATTCTATCTAATATTCCTCTCACACTCTTGCGCGGCGATCGATCGCCCGCATTATTTCGCAGCGCCAGCAGCTCCATTCTTTCCAGCGCTCGGCGATCTCATGGGTTCAATCGCGCTCCCGTCGCGGCGCTGGATCTTGATCGCGCTCGTGGCAGCGGCGGTGGCGCTGGCAGCGATGACGGGCGTGGATTCCGTGGGCGTGAATTGGGGCACAGTCACGTCTCACCGCCTCCCGGACAAGATGATCGTCAAGCTGCTCCAGGAAAGCCGGATTTCCAAGGTGAAGCTCTTCGACGCGGATCCCAGCGTGATCCGGGCCTTCGCAGGGACCGATTTGGAGCTCATGGTTGCGGTTCCAAACGATCTCCTCGAGGACATGGCGTTTAGCGAGAAGGCCGCGCGGAGATTTGTGCGAAGAAACATCACTAAGTTCTTATCCCACCAAGATGGCGTCAATATCAGGTATTTACACTCTTGCTCTTCCATACCCAGCCTTCTAGGGAGTTTTTTTCTCGTTTCTTCTTCCTCTTCCACTTTGTTCCAGCCTTTGGAGTAAAGGATTTTTAAGTGAGGAGAGAAAAGTGTTGGCACTTATGGGGTGGTACCAGCTCTAGAAAAACATTTTCTCAAAGCTATTGAGTGCCCAGAATGTGCTTAAAGGCGTACGTACAGTTCCTGGATGCTCGAGTCACTTTAGAGCTTATGCTTCTGCAAAGAATCTGGAAAGCGTGAAAGTATGATAGGAACTTTTCCCCCTTTTCTTTTTGTTTGATATGATTTCTAGAGCGATCAGTCTACACGTTTTGGAGCTAAACAGTGTGATAGGAAGATAAGTTTTTCTAGTGCTAGCTCGAGATGCTTGATTTAATCCATTCGTGATTGGTTTGGATCTCACAGGTACATTGCGGTGGGAAACGAACCTTTTCTCAAAGCCTACAACGGATCATACGAGGACGTGACCATCCCGGCCATCCGAAACATGCAACAGGCGATCGAACAGGCCGGGATCCAACACAAGGTGACGCTGGTGGTACCACTCAACGCAGACATTCTCACGAATTCCGGCAACTCAGGCAAACCATCGCAAGGAGCCATCCGCCCCGACATCCGGAGGCTGATGCGAACGATCCTCGAGTTCCTGGACAAGCACAAAGCTCCCTTCGTCATCAACATGTATCCCTTCCTCAGCTTGCAACAAGACTCTCACTTCCCAAGCGACTTCGCCTTCTTCGACGGCAGCGCGCACGTCCTGTCCGACGGCAGAAACTTCTACTCAAACGTTTTCGACGCGAGCTACGACTTGCTCGTCTCGGCGCTGGCGAGAGAAGGTTTCCCAGACATGGAGATCGTCGTGGGAGAGGTCGGCTGGCCAACCGATGGAGATATCTATGCAAACATCCCAAACGCGCAGCGGTTCAACCAGCAGCTCATCCGGCACGTAACCAGCAACCGAGGCACACCACTCCGGCCGGGGATCCCGATCGAGATATACATCTTCGGCCTCGTCGACGAGGACCGGAAGAGTGTTCTTCCGGGCAACTTTGAGCGGCACTGGGGGCTTTACCGCTACGATGGCAAGCCGAAGTACTCGCTGGACGTGTCCGGCCGCGGTGGAAACGGTCTGAGCAGCCCGATCAACCTCATGAGCGTCTCCGGGGTGACTTACCTCCCGTCGCGCTGGTGCGTTCTCAATCCGGAAGTGGACGATCTCTCCAAGCTTCCGGCGACGATAAGCTACGCTTGCAGCTATGCCGACTGTAGCACGCTCGCTTACGGGGGATCTTGCAACCACATTGGACAAACAGGGAATGCGTCGTATGCTTTCAACAGCTTCTACCAGATGAACAACCAGCGTACCGAGAGCTGCCACTTTGGAGGCCTGGGGATGATCACGGAGACTGATCCTTCCAGTGGGAACTGCCAGTTTCGGGTGGAGATCACGCCTTGGTCGGCTGCTAGCACTGTGTGGAGGGGTGGTGCTGCTGTCCTCGTGGTTTCCTTGTTGGTAGCTTTGTCGTAATTAAAAGGTTTAAAGGCCATATTTATAGATAGTGCTTTAAGTCCCTATTAAATCATATATATTTATATTTATATTAACAAGGACAGCGCAAAGTGACATTTGTATGCGCATGGTTTGAGAGAAGTACTATTCCTAAGGATTAACTATTTTAATACGGGGGTATTCTCAAGTGTATGAGCGAGTTTATGGGTCTCTCAAGGTTTTTGCTGTTAATATTCGTGGTCTTAGCAAGCACGTCTTCGATTGTGGTAAGCTTTTCGGTCTATGGAGCCTATGTAATCTTTTCCCCATAACATGTTTAGAGATGTGCAAACCAACCTTGTGGTGGCTTTCTAAGGAGCTGTATCATTATGTCTTTCAAAACTAGAGTCCTAAAAGCCATATGCATGGTTGCTGGCTCATGGAAAAATCTAACACTGCCTATAAATTCGTGTGGGGGAGGTTTAAATTGCAAGGTTGAGGAATACCAGTTGATTTGCACTGATTATTCGTCCAAACGACTCAACATGGAAGCATATATAACTCTTGCCAATGGAACACTCAACTGTTGCAAAGCCCCTTGATAAAACGATAATAACAAAAGGATAAAAAACCATTAGTGTTTAGAGTGAAAGCACTGCGCTCTAGTAAAACTTAACTCTTAAGCTTGCCTCATGTGAAGAACTAATCAGCCGTAGAGTGGTAGCAAAAAATGTAGCTAATTGTCATGATTTTTATCCATCGCGACGGTGGTGACAATGCTTTTGCCAAGGCATTCCTACAACATCGATCCAAACAAGACGTCAAATTAGCAGAGCTCAAAAACCGCAGTCTACGTACTCCGCTTTTGGCCAAGAGCAAGCTCTCCGCGGTTGGAAAGCTCTGGAGCAGCAGGAAGCAGCGAACCGCTACCAGGAGCCTTCGAAAGACTGGGGCCTTGAGACGAGTGGAGAAGAGCGAGAAGCCGTTCTCGATGGCCCAGATCGCGAGCTGTTCGTTCTTCACCTGGATCTCGTCGATGTCAAAGCGGTGTTCCATCTTATCCTGCAGGTCCTCCGCGAGGTTGGGGTCGGGATGAGACGCGAGGCTCCCAGTGGATCCCGCTTTGGCCATCTGAGCGATCATGGAGGCCGCTGGGTGATCTCTCTTGTTCTCCATCGGCTTCAAGGCCGCCATTCTGTAAACAGCATTCGTGTCTTGTCAACCATAGAACTATAGCGCTGTACATGACATACCGTCGCCTGTGAGATCTGGATCCGTAAGTCCCTAGCCTGTGACACAAAAATTGCATCATGTCCAGCATCGGGTCGATCCTTCTAACGTTAAAGTTACGGCATACCGGTTTGCTGGTTGGCTCGGCTGATCGAGTTCGCTCAGACGACTCGCTCGTGGCGTCCCCTCGGTGTGAAGCATTACTTCCTCCCTGGAAGATCCACTGTAAAACAAATATCATCTCTTTTCTAGAAAATTTCGAGACTGTTCGCGCATGAAAGCTGAGGACTTCCTTGGCTACGAGTATCCCCGGAAGTTCTTGAGAAAGATGAACTTCAAAGTTATGGAATACCTTTCTGGTTCTGGTTCAAGCTCACGCAAAATCACTTCCTCATCGGAAGAACTGCAAACAAAAAAAACCTGGGCATTAGCTCTATTTCTTGAAACTTTCGAGACTTCTTCAAGCATGGTCAAAGCTAAGGACTTCCTTCGATCTGACAACGCATTGGCAGGCGGTGAAAAGGAGGAGGAGGAGGCAAAACGACGCTCATCGCAATTAATCCTTGGTGCGCCAAGAAACCAGGAAAATCAAAAGAAAATCTTTAGAAGCTCACATATTACGGGCAGGATCGATCAGAGTGACAGCATCGACGCCGAACGATCACGAAAGACGGTGAAAACAAGCTCCCGACAAGAGAAATTTCACAAGCACGCGAGACGCAGCGAGAGATTGCATCGCCGATCGGCCTAAACCTCAAACATAATCACGCAGACCTGGCGCCTTGATCGCTGCCCTCCGCGCTCTCGTCCTCCATTTTGCAGGACCTAGCTCGAAGGCGGGCAAAAGAATGATTTGAATGACATGGCCACGCTGTCCACAAACGTGGCACAATCCCAGCCGTCCGATTTCTTCGACGTGATTATGTCCAAATTAACCTAGAGTAGATTCTAGTATCTTGTGACATTTGCTTTTTTCTACGCATAACAAAGCGAAAACAAAAAAAGTGAAAGTGAATCTAACCTACAGAGCATATTCTAGGCACATTCACGTTTGCGATTTGCTCTGTGGGCGCATTACCTTTTAGGGTTCTTGGGGTCTTGATCGCGCGTAGGTGGAAAGATCGCAGGGATCAATCGATCCGAAAGCGAGCAGGCCAGCGGGGTAGCGAGAAGGGCACGGGCCACACGAGCCGAGCGTTGTTCACGCATTAAATTTCAGGGCGGCACAGTAGTGAATGGGAAAGAAAGGGGCAGTCAATTGACTAGCGACAAAGGGCGATGATTCTTCCTCCCATGTTTACCGGTCTAAAAGCGTAACTGGTGATGTTCGTGGCGCGACCGGCGCTACGAGGAGCTATTCTTTGATCGCCCAAACAGGGGACCCCAATTTCCCCATCAAATTGGCTGCTCCTGGACGCCAAGATCGATTCTTTCCGTCCTGGGGTCGCTTTGATCGCGGGTTAGTGTCGTAATCTGGAAGAATTCGCAGGAATTGGCCTGGAATCGAGCAGGATTGGACGAGGAACCAGCGAAATGGGGGATGACAACGAGGAGGACCGCCAATCCGTGGTATCTAGATCTAGTAGCTGTAGGAGCAGCAGCAGTAAACCTCACAAGGCCAACGATGCGGGATGGGAGGCGATCCGGTCGGTGGAAGCGCGCGACGGGAACATCAATCTCTCCCACTTCAAGCTCCTCCAGCGATTGGGCAGCGGCGACATCGGCAGCGTCTATCTATCGGAATTGCGGGGCTTTCGCTGCCTGTTTGCGATGAAGGTGATGGACAAGACCGCTCTGGCAGCCAGGAACAAGCTCCTGAGAGCTGCCACCGAGAGGTCCATCCTGGAGAAGCTCGATCATCCCTTCCTCCCAACGCTCTACGCGCACTTCGACACGGCGAATTTTTCGTGCCTGATTATGGAGTACTGCCCGGGAGGAGATCTCCACACGCTGCGCCAGCGGCAGCTCACAAAGCGATTCGACAACGAAGCAGTGAGGTAGGATTTGTTTTGATTTTTCCTCTTTTCGGCCGTGATCGATCCAAATGTGGCCTTGATTGATCGATCTCGCAGGTTCTACGCAGCAGAGATCTTGCTCGCGCTCGAGTACCTCCACATGATGGGCGTCGTCTACCGGGATTTGAAGCCCGAGAATGTGCTCGTCCGCCACGACGGCCACATCATGCTCTCGGACTTCGACCTCTCCCTGATCTGCGATGTGAGCCCTACGGTGATCCAATCGCCACCTCCAGGAACAGCAGCGAGAAGAAGAGCCCCCTCTTTCTCCTCGTCCTCGTCCTCGTCCTCAACCAGCAAATTAGGGCGCCTCGGCGGGGGCGCATCGCCGTCGTGCATCCTGCCAGCGTGTGTCGCTCCCTGCACGGTGGACCGCCCGATGCCCCCAGCGGGTCAACTAAGGTCAACACGGGTCAACCCCCTCCCGGAGCTAGTCGCCGAGCCCACTGGCGCGCGCTCCATGTCGTTCGTGGGCACGCACGAGTACCTGGCGCCCGAGATAATCTCCGGCTATGGCCACGGCAGCGCGGTGGACTGGTGGACGCTGGGCATTTTCCTCTTCGAGATGTTCCACGGGAGGACGCCCTTCAAGGGGGGCGACAACGAGAGCACGCTGGTGAATGTGCTGACCAAGCCGCTCGAATTCGGGGGCGCCGCCGAGGGCGTGGAGCTCGGCGAGGACGCCAGGAGCTTGATCCGGGGCCTCCTCGCCAAGGATCCCGCCAAGCGCATTGCCTCCGCCAGGGGCGCCGTGGAGATCAAGCAGCACCCCTTCTTCGCGGGCACGAATTGGGCGCTGGTTCGCTGCGCCGCCCCGCCCGAGGTCCCCAAGGCGCTCCTCTGGCGGAAGAAGAACACGGGATCCAAGAGCGACGACGTTGAATACTTCTAGCCTCTGGTCAACGGCCACAGCCTCCAGTCAACTATGTTAAATGGGCCGTTGACTATCCTGTCAACGGCCCCTGGTCAACGGCAATATGGATGTTTGAATGTGGTGACCTAAAAACAGAGCTGTGGCAATGGCGACTCTGGGTGTGGCTGGAATGTGCCTCGTCCGGGCGCGAGGTGAGAGATTTGGGGGAAATTCGGCGCTGGGCAGGGCGAGGATGCGCGGCGCGAGGCTCCAGTGCGCGGGGCCGAGGGTGTTTGAGGTGGAGATGGAGCACGAGGGGAAGATCCACACATTGAGAGTGCCCGAGGACGAGACGATCCTGTCCAAGGCGCTCGAGGAAGGGGTGGAGGTTCCGCACGATTGCAAGCTCGGGGTGTGCATGACTTGCCCCGCGAAGCTGGAGAGGGGGCGAGTGAATCAATCGGAGGGGATGCTGAGCGACGATGTGGTCGACAAGGGCTACGCTCTTCTGTGCGTCGCGTATCCGCTGGAGGATTGCCGGATCCGGACGATTCCAGAGGACGAGCTTGTTTCCTTGCAGCTGGTGACATCCTCGGATTGAGGGCTAGCGCTAGAAACCATCCCAAGATCATAGAATCAAGAATGATAGAATAGCAAAACAACGAATATGCTTTAGGATGAAACGAATATGCCTCGCGCGAACGAACATAGTTTGTCCAAGAATTGTGCCACTTCCCGGGATCCTGGAGCAACATAGAAGGCGTGATCCGCGGCCTCGAGCAGCAAAAGCTCCGGATCCATCCCACATTCGCGCATCACCTCCACGAATTCCAGCGCGCGATCGCGCAGCACGTCGAGCCCGCCGGCGACGACGAGGGTGCTGGGCAGATCGAGCTCGCGCAGCTGGGCCTTGAGATCCGGAGCAAAGACGCGGCAGTAGGGATGATTCCTGCTCGCTCCAACCGGCAGTGCGAGCTCCCAGAACCGATCGCACATATCCGTGCTGAGCAGCGAAGTGGGTGACTGGAGATTGGTCTCGGAAGGAAGCCGAGCAATGCCGCCAAAGAATGGCTGGATCAAGACGCGCCCTTTGATCTGGAGCTCGCCCAAATCCTCCGCCGCCGCTCGCATTGCGACATGGTGCGCGAGATTGCCCCCAGCGCTGTCGCCCATCACCAGGATCTTGGAGAGATCGGCGTGGGCAGCGATCCACGGATCCTTGCGGCCTCCCTGTTCTTGAGCGAGCCATTTGAGCGCCGCGAATCCGTCGTCGTAAGCCGCCGGGAGCCGGTTCTCGGGAGCTAGGCGGTAATTGACAGAGACCACGAGAGCTCCCAGTTTCTTGGAGATGCTCTCGCAGAGGACATGGAACTCCAAGGTATTCGCGGTGAAGGACACGAATCCGCCGCCATGGAAGTAGAGCACTACTGGAAGCTTTTCGTTCTTACCTTTGGGGAGAAAGACCCTCGCCCAGATCCGGAGCTTCTCGTCGATGGTTACGTCTCTCGAGGCGATTGGATTGCCGCTAGGATCCGCTTCCACGCAGAGGGACTTGGGCATGGATTTGCGAGCAAAGGATCGATCCACGAAGAACAATCCATCGGGGAACTCCTTGGCGACTTGGAGCGACGGCATTGCTGGAAAATCAAGGAAGAAAGAAAACGCTTGGACACAAACCACGACGCTGGTTTTAAGATAACAAGGTAACAAAACAATATCTCACCAAAATTTCTAGCAAACGACCCGCGACTTGCGTATCCTGCAACTTGCGACTTTGATCAACGAGACAAATCTGTCTTCACTCGATTAAAAAGTATCAAAACCTGCTTGAATGCGTCAGAGAGATATAGAACAGACAAAGAAAAGCTTAACTTCAACCCGATCTCAAGGATTCACTGCCTGGCTAGTCCAATCTCCACCGCTGGAGCTCCGGAACACTATTCTCTTGTGTTGTTTAAGATGCAAGTAGTCAACCTGTTCGCTAAGATTGTTATCTTCTGGAAAAAAAAATCAATACTTCACAGACCTCAACCGGGTGGAGCGTAACAACACAGAAGGTATCAACGGGGGGCTGCGTGCTCTCGAGCCGAACCTCTTCTGGATGAGACTCTTTTGGCTGGCCTGGATGTGGCCACGTAAATTGTTTTCGAGTTTGCAAAGAGCTGCTAAACCATGACTTCTCTCTTATCTACACACAGACCACAAGATCGAAGTCCAGCTTTTTCTAGAACCGAAAAACGCACCTCTTTCTTTAACGGATCGTCTTCCGTGTGGCTTATAACTTCGATGTCACCGTGAATGCGAAATTGTTCCCAGCTATCAGTGAAGTAGTAACAAACCTGCAAAGAAAAAGATTAGAAGAAGAAATACTTAGAATCAAACAGCGTCAATCACCTCGGCCACGGGACAGTGTTGAGCTTCTTGTACCTTGCAAATGAAACAAGGAGAGCTAAAACATATTTAGCCGCGAGAGATCGAAGTGAAAGCTTTTGGCAGCATGCTTGCCTTGTTGCTTCTGGAGTCTGTCGTAAACAGCAGATTGTCAGTCCCGTCCGCAAATCCCCTGGTCGAGAACCAAAAGAAAAACCACAAAAAAGCCAGTTGGTCATGGCAGAAACTCTTAATGACACGAAAGACTTGCCTGAAAACGACAGTTCGGTTTGCGGGTGTTCCATTTGCTCTAACAGTAGCCTGCCAATCGCATGAACAGCAGCTTGTAAGAAAGAATTCCAGAATTCACGTGAGAAAAAAGTCCGAAGTTTTCTTCCAGGAAAATCAAGAAGGCATGCAAACACATTACCAAAAAGCGCTGCACATAATCTTCACAGGACAGTACAGCAAGCACGAAGAACTCCTGGGAGAAACGAGCTAGAATCGCGAGAATTTCGAGAATGACTAAGCTCTACAACTACGAAATCAAAGGAAATTTTTTTTCCAGAAATTCATTTGTCCGACAGCTCTAGCAAGAAATCGCATGAACAGCGCGTAAGAGAAAGAATTCCAGAAATCAAATGTCTCTTCCAGGAAAACCACGAAGAATTCGAGAGAGATGCAAGCTCCAGAATCATTACCGAAAAGAGATCTTTTCACAGGAGCACGAAGAACTCCTGAGACAACGAACTAGATCATAAGAAACTCGAGAATGACTCAAGCTCTCACAACTACGCAATCAAAGGCAAAATTCCAGAAAATTCTCTCTTCCGGCAGCTCTAGCAAGAAATCTTCGTCTCGCTTTGCTTGAATCAGGGAGGAATCTCTTACCAGCTGACAAAATCTGCTGTGCTGGAGCTGAGAATGCGATTCTAGAGCGCTCTCCAGTAGCTGGCGCCATGGAAGAATGCGCTCACCCATTCTCCAAGAACACATACAAAACCTAGGGCTTATAGTCTTCTTCCATAATGATAGAAATAATATCAAGCAAAACAATGGAGGGATCTATGGATCGAGCGATCGATCCAAGAGCTTGATTGATCTATGAAGAATCCATAGTCAAATCTTCTAGGAGCACAGGCTACTGCCACTGTTGCATCGCCCGACGAAGACGCCATTGGGGTAATTCCCAGCGTAGTTGAGATAGGCCATGAATTCGACCGGGCAAGTGGTGGAGAAATCGTTCACTTGGGTCGTGTACTTGCAAGCCATCTTCTTGAACGCGCCACAGCACGCCTCCTGGTGATACTGGGGTCCCTTGCAAACGCTCGTCACCTCGGCGTAGTCCACCTTGGAGAAATCCGTAGCGCAGCCTGCCCAAGGAAGAGATTTGCGCGACTTGGATGGACCAAACAAGAATGGATCGAAGAGAGAGCTTACCTGTGGAGCTCTTGGAAGCGGCAGTTACTTGCGCCTCGCTCATCTCGAATCCGGCAGTGTAGGCGTGGGCATCTGGAATGAAAATGCCGAGATTACAGAGACCACCATCGCAAGATCCAATGCTCACCGTGTAGAGACTCTGCGAAGACAAGCGCCAGGAGGAGGAGGACGATTTGGGTCGAGGAAGCCATGGCCAAGCTCGCAGAGAGACGATGGATCGAGCGAAGAGATCGCAGCGGCGATGGTATAGGTGTGGAAAAGAGGAGATGAATTTATTCGTCACACTCCACTTACCAAACAAGCTTTCAATGCTCTGCTGATTCAGGCAGTGTGTCAGAAAGGCGGTCAGGAAATTTACTCTTCTCGAAAAGGGCGGGAAAGTAAATTTAAATTCTAAGAAAGAACCCTAAAATGTAAGTTTAGGGTTTATGGGCGCAGCGCACGGGAAGATCATCTTCCTAACCGCCGGGATTCGATCAAGTTTTTCCAGGAATCTTAGGCGCCGCGCTGGATCATGAGCTATCAAGTAAGCTTAAATGTTTCTTTCTTTATTCCTAGCATCTACCTCGATGAATATTTATATGGCAGGGATCTCGCATTGCTAGCAGCGCTTGTAGAGATCCAGGAAAGAATGGCAAAAAAAGAGAAAGAAGGGATATGGCGCTCTTAACTCGTCACCAGGACCCATACTGCCTGGCTGGGGATCCCGTTGTGAAGCGCAAAGAGCATGTAGTAAGATGGAGGAGCCACGACCGAGCTCGGGGGTGCCGTGCTGGCCACATAGTAAGTGTTGGCGTAACTCAGCACCGATGCTGCTACTGGCAACTTGAGCTGCCGCTGGCCTTGTGAGAAGGAATGCGTGGTAAATGGCGAGCTCAGCAGCGTAAGCTGGATGTTCCCGACCAGCTTTCCGGGGATCGCAACGTCGACGCTGAAAGGCATGCCGTAGGTGATGGTGAAGGGGTTCTTCGCGATCCTCGGCCTCAGCCAGTCATTGGTAGCGTCCAAGTATGCCGGAGAGAAGGTTTCCACTCGGAGCTCGGTCGGGAATGGGCCAGTGTACTGATACGTGTAGCGGGTGTTACTCCCAGCAACGAGAACTCGGCCGTCGGGAAGAAGGTTGGCGGTGGAGTGATAAACTCGGGGGATGGTGGACGGAGCCTGGATCTCGAAAGTTTTCTTGTCCGGGTCGTAGAGAAGCGGATTGAGGATGGGATTGGAAGCGAGCAGATATCCTTGCGAGCCGTTTTGTGCTCCGTTGATGATCAGGACTTTGGCAGTCGGAAGCAGCACCATGTCTCCCATGTTTCTCCGGAAAGGCATGTATGACATGTCCCAGTAGGGGGAGTTGGAGGTGACTTCCATCCGGCCGCAGGTCTGCGAGGCACCGTATTGAGCGTCCGAGTTTTTGAACGAGGCCTGGTTTGCTCCACCGCAGACGAGGACTTCGGCCTTTGAGTAGCTGTTGGCGGTGTCGAGAGCGAGCATGACGGAGCTTCCTGAACAGGGGTAGTTCCTCGGCTCGCCTGGGATGGTCGGGAACTTCCTGACGACGGTGTTGGTGAAGTAATTGAGCAGGATCGAGTCGCGGTTCGCAAAGATGTAGAGAAGGTTGCTTGGGAGGAGGTGGAGGTATGGATACAAGTTGTCATCCTGGAAGTCGGCCGTATCCTTGAGGAACTGGAGATAGAACTGGCCGCCAGTCGGCTGGAACTCGTAGTTGTAGACTCCGCGGCCGCCAACAACGATAATTCGTCCGTCGGGGAGGATCTGGTTGCTCGCGTACCACCTTGAGGATTGCAAGTTGGTGCTCGACTCCATCCAGTTGCACCAGGAACCGCTGGAGCAGGGAGTGAAGTAGCGGATGATGCTACCACCGTCGGAACTCCCCCCGGTTTGCATGAGAGTTCCATTGGGAAGGAACTGGCCGGAACTACACCAGGTGTCCGAGTATATGAAAACGGGGCGTACCGTGTTAGAGGATGGATCGTAGATGACCGAGTGAGCGGTGCAGTCGTGGGTGGTCATCATGTCTGCTGGATTATCTCGGCAGTTTCCGACCAGGTTGATTGCCGAAGGCCCAATGTTGGTGCGGTCGAGGAAGATGACGTTACCATAGTGAGTGACGGCGGTGTGCATAGAGGAAATGCCGGCATTCTGGAGAACAATGTTGAATCGGCCCGGCTGCTGAGCGAGTGAGAGGCAGAAGCAGCAGCTCAAGAGCGCCAGGACTGTCCTCGCTCTCCTGTTATTCATCTTGGCATCGATAGGAAGCGATGAGATCTTTCGTTCACTACGATTCCAGCGGCAGCAGCAGCAAGCAGGAATGTAAGTAGTGACTACTTTCTTTTGTCTTTCTTTCGATCTTGTGACTCACAGTTTCTTTTTCGAGCAGGAACCTGAATGTGGACAACACTTGTGTGCTCCTGCTCCTGCCAAGCGAAGTGAATGGAGAGCTAAAGCCTGCACGGAGTTGAGACTGATAGATTTCGCAATGCTGCAAGGAAGTGGCCACGTCTATCTGACTATGGAGCTGCTCCTACGAGCCTTTCAATCAAGACCTCACCAAAGCTGTAGACTCGGAAGAGCAGTGCTCTTTACTGAAACGAGGGAAGCGCACACATCAACCTCACGGCCACTGCTGCGCCACTGCTACACTCTGCTGCAAGCGTCGGCTTTCCTTTGGCGTTGCTCCAGGAAGAAGAGGCGAGCTAAATGGATCCAAAAACACGATGGAGGCACCGAAAGACAAGCCAGTGGTAAGTTTCCTTTCTCTGCTTTTCCTTCATGTTTCTTAAATGTCGTCCTGGCTCTGTCTTTAGAAACAACAGGGAAGCAGCAGCTGGAGCTTTAACTAGTCGATCCAGCTTATTATTGAAACGATTAGTTATCAACAAGAAAGTGGAGGTGGTGGACAAAAAATAAAGATTTTCCCGCTGTTGGTGGTCTGTCGGCATCGAGTGGTATGTTAGCTGGAGTTTGCTAATGACTCTGATTCGTGGACCCTCACATTGTTTCGCAGTTGTGCTTGGAAGTTTTTATTCAAGGCTTTGGTTGTTGGAAGGAGGAATGAAGCCTTTGTGTTGGTGGTTCGATCAAGTCACAACACTGCTCTTGGCTTGAGTTTTCGCACAAATTCTCGCGTCTTGGACATGTGCCACTGTCGTGTGGGTCCTCGTCCTCATTTCGCAGCAAAGCAGCGCATGTTCGTCCCGCAACCAACACCACGCTTTGACGATGCGCTTTCACACTTTATCCATTGGCTCGGGTCTCTTAGATCCAACGCGAGAATATGGTACGAATGGCAAGCTGTTCTTCTCTTCTCTTTTCTAATGGCAAGCTATTTTCGTCTCTCTTTCAGTACTCGATCTTTCACTGGAGTAACTTTTTTCCGCGTTTCGCCTCGACATGGAATGATTAAGAAGACTTGGTGAGCTCTTCAGTTTTTTATTTTATTTTGTTCGATCTGTTTCCAGATTTTTGAGCTTCCAACGTGATCTTTCCCTGGAATATCTTATGCTGCCAGAGGCTATTTTTTCTTGTTTCCGGTCACAAGCACCGAAGCAAAGCATCATTTGTTTTTTCTTGCTTGCCAGCTACACAGCAACAGTGACACGGAGAAGTAAAGCTGCGCTATCGTGTGCTCCAGCCAGGACTAAGATCCAAAACTTTTTATACTTTATAATCGAAATAGACGCAAATAGACACCAAAGATTGGAAATATAAGTTGCAACCTAACTTGAACTTCTGCAATCTGAGGTGTAGCCTTGAACATTCTCGCAAACCGCTCCAGCCGCCTTTCCAGAGCTGCCCAGGGTCAGCTTGACATTGCTGAAGTGGATGTTCGTGCATGCGCCGCTTGAGCTGCAGTGCAAGTTGATTCCGTCCGGAGATGCCGAAGTGCCCACGATATTCGAGTACGTAACTCCCTGGATTGTTAGAGACGACCCCTGGTTTCACAAAATCATACAAACTTAACGTTAGCAAGTGAGAAGAGAAGGGGTGTGTCGAATATTTGATATCTCACCCGCTTCTTGCCACAGCCGCCATCGCAGTAGTTTTGATCGATAATGATCGGGTTCTTCACGTTGTCCATGCTGATATTTTCAAATATCACATTGCTCACGTAACCTTTGCCACCCTGCATTCATGCAGCGTGTTTCGTCAAAGTGTTTCGATGGTTTTACCAACTTTTACCTGCCATGTCTTGATCCGTACGCCATTTGTGGCCGCGTCGATCTTGACACCTGAGACTTGAACGTTGGAAACGGTGGCGTAAGACCCGCCCTTGCCAAGGCTTCCGATGCTGATGCCGTGACCAGGGCCGCATCGCCCGCCCAAAACCTGGATGTTGGAGCTCCCAGAAACAATCGACACGCAGTCGTCACCTTCAGATATGTGTGCAAAGAAAAGATAGTTAAAACACTGATATCAGAATCTGATATAGGAAAGTTACCGGCAGAGATGTCTGCGTCTCTAACTACAACATTAGTGCTCCCTGAAACGTGAATACCGTCGGTGTTTGGGCTGCTTTCTGGAGAGTTTATCACCACGTCTGTTGCCTGGATGGCTTGAGAGTCCGAAAACGTAATGTGGATTTGGGGACTGTTGGTTATGGTGATGCCTTCCACCTTGATGTTCTTGCTGTCCTCAAACCTCACAGCCTACAGTAAATCAGTCAATCATGCAATCATGCATATAATCTAAACTTTACCGTGGGAGCATCGGTGCAGTGCTGGTGCAAAAATTCACAATTTACAAGTCAGTCTCTTATTTTTTTGGGGAATCTAAGAAATCTTACCTGGCTTTTGTCTTTCTTACAGGAATGAGCCCACCAATCTTGGCCGTTGCCGTTGAAAGTTCCGCCAGTCAGTGTGAAGTCCGTCACCTTAGTGAACAGGAGCCAGCTTTTCTCGGAGGAAAACTTGGACAGCCACGCACTCCTTGGGATGGCATGCAGAGTTCCATCCACCTGAAATATTGATATACATTAAGGATATGAAACATCATATGATATGTGATTAACCTTCATTGTGACGCTGGTACACTCTCCAAACGAGATTGGGCTGAGGTAGTAGCCCGCCGACGTCGATGGAACCAAGATAACGGCATTGTCGCCGGCTTGGCATGCTGCATTGTAAGCGTCTAGGAAGGCCTGCAAATCGGAAATTATAAATCAAAACATCGTAAGATTGATCACATACCTGGGCATCATCGTGCTTTCCATCGCCGACAGCTCCATAGTTCTTGACGTTAAACTCTTTGCCAGTGAGCGGTGACGAGCTGGGTGGTGGCGGCGACCGTGGTAGCGTGACAGAAGGGGGAGGAGGAGCCTTGGCTGGCGGAGGAGATCTAACCTTTGGAGCCTTTGGAGCCTTTGGAGCTTTCGGAGGCTTTGGAGCATGATGGGGTGGCAGAGGAGATTCATCTTCAAACGGAGGAGGAGATCTAACCTTTGGAGCCTTCGGAGCCTTTGGAGCATGATGGGGTGGCGGAGGAGATTCATCTTCAAACAGAGGAGGAGATCTAACCTTTGGAGCCTTTGGAGCCTTGTGTGATGGTGGTGAATGCTTGGGCGACCAATCCCGGTCCCCATCCCTGGGCTTCTTCTTTCCAGTGTGATCGTGAGATGCTAACGCACTTTGGCCACAGCAGCAAGCAATAGCAATGGCAAGAAACACACAGAGGAATATAGATAAATTCGCCATTGTTGCCTATTTCCTCAAAAAAGCTATTTTATAGTCTTTTTTTCTACCATAAATTATCTGCAATCGGATTTTGTAATATTTATAATTTAGAGAAATTTTTATCGTTCGAGAAATAAAAATACTTTCGTGTTTATATGGGTTATTGGTTTAGTTGTTAAAGGAGAGTTTTGTTTAACAGCTTGTTAACAGAGAGTTAGGGTTTTAGTGGCGGCAATGCAGCAGCAATGCGGGAAGGAAATGCCCGCGATCTCGCGCAATCCGGGCTTCTCTCGTAGATTTCCTCCGGCGCAAGTGTGCTTGAGCAGGAGATTCTCTGGCGCAGCGTCCAGAGCTGCCACTAGAGCTCTCGCGAGATCGGAGCCTGTTTCTACTGTGGAGGTAAGGAGTTTAATTCTTTTCTGGGATTTTGTAGCGCTTAGGAGATCCATGCGCGCGTTTTCCAGGTGGAGGCGCTGCTGGATTTGATAAAATGGGACAGCAGTGGCTTGGCTGTGGCGATTGCGCAGGATGTTGACACTGGGGCGATTTTGATGCAGGGATTTGTTAATCGGGACGCTGTCTCGGCCACGATTGCGTCCAAGCGAGCGACGTATTTTAGTCGAAGTCGTCGATCTCTTTGGACCAAAGGAGAGACGTCATCCAATTTTATTGATGTTGTGGATGTCTATCTCGACTGTGATAGAGATTCGGTACGCTCTTTCTTTCATACTTTTGTGAGCTCTTGTCGAGCTTTTGTTTTCGTGTTCTTCCTCTACAGATTATTTACTTGGGAAAGCCTGACGGGCCGACTTGTCACACAGGAGCTGATACGTGCTACTTTACTCGTGCTGCTGATATCCTCCAGAACAAGCCTCTGGTCTGTGTAAACTCACAATATCGTTCTTCCATTGATAGTTTTTTTACAGATCGGAGAGAATGGATTGGCAACTTCTACCTTGTACGATTTGGAAAGAGTTATTCAACAGCGGAAGTCAGAGCCTGATGGGAAAAAGCCGTCGTGGACGAAGCGGCTTTTGCAGGACCAGAAGCTGCTTTGCTCCAAGATAAGGTGCGCTCTGCTTTCATGCCTCTCGCGCTTGACTAGAAACTTTGGCAGGGAGGAGGCGGGTGAGCTGTGCAAGACAGTGGAAGAAAACGAAGGCAGGAAAAGGACTGTATCAGAAATGGCCGACGTCTTGTACCATTCGATGGTGCTGCTTGCAGCGCAAGACGTGAAGATGGCAGAAGTTATGGAAGTCTTGAGAGCGAGATTTTCTCAGTCAGGCATTGAGGAGAAGAGCAGCCGAGGCAGGAGTTCAAGTTGAGGGATCTTTCAACTCAGGCCATAGATGTTTGAAACTTCCAAAATGCAAGAATCTAGCACCAACATGTATTTCATTCTAGTATGTTATGTAGAATGGAATAGGATTGTGCTTACAGTCCAGATATGGGACCCTTTACAACATTAGCTAGTTAGGTAGTTTCTGGGAATGGAGGGCACACAGTTACAAATCGGTGGAATGTGTGGTGCGCAACGTTCAAACTAAAGTGGACCTCAGGGCTGTCTTGCTATATTTAGCTGTAAAAAATATCGCTCCCGCTGTAAAGGAGAGTGTTTTTAGAAAGCCATATTGTGCAACAAAGGCATCTACAATCTGATTTATCGCTATAATAGCTATTTCCAGTGCGCACGAGGTATATGGTATTATTGATAAAAGATTTCTTAGACTTAGAGAGATTTGTACTATCACATAGATCGGTTGGTTTGACGCTAAATGTATGTATTTGGTAATACTAAAAGGAAGCTTGACTTATCATATTTATTTAAAATGTAGGTCCTATCGGATCGATTCACGGTGACCGTGACTTGTAAGAAATCTACATATTTTGGTTGAGCATAATTGTTTCCTCTTTTATATTAAGATAGATCAGTACTAGGTTACACTATACATTAGTATATTTATTATTTGTTTCCAAATATCATTTCCAAATTGTATTTAGAGAGTGACATATTCTTTTACCTTTTTATTATGGAGCTTGCATATCCACCTAGTTTTCTTATATAGATTCTCTTTGAATTGGCTGTGATATCTGAATAAACTACTACAATGTACTAAAGTCCCGGAGAAAAGTGAGATGTAACAAAGTTAATCAACCACTTCAAGGACGTCTAGCTATATCTTTAGTTTCACAAATTGACACATGACAAAGTGAGAAAAGCTTACGTCTTGCAAACATATGGTGAGCCTTAGCACCCACTATAGTGGTTCTTACCGAGTGGAGGGTTCATCCCAGCAAACTATAGCTGGGCAAAAAAAAAGTAAGAAAAACAACACGTAAAAGAATAAAACAGTGGATATACCGAAGATTACACTCTTTACAAAAAACGTGGAAACGTGCAAATTGACGCAAATGAATAGGTACAGAATGCGCCGCCTGCGCCTCCCCTCAAAAGCTACACGTCCCCACGGTGAAAAAGATAAAACAAGAGAGAGTGCTTCGTTTCTTGCTTCCCCACTAGCTCCCACTATTTCTCTACTCTGATCCCAGTGTGTGAACACAGACAGCTTTGACACTTGGCTTCCCATCGATTCAATTGCTCACATGATGTTTTAGTTGGATGGTGCACCGATGCTTGTTCCAGGAATGCATCCCTGGTAGTACGCTGCTCTAAAGTGTCATCCTCTTGCTTGACCAGGCCATTCTCGATAGCTTCACAAAACTTCATTCCATCCATTCATGTCTAAGCTCACGACAGGACTGAGAGCCTTCTGGCTGAGGAACATGTCCACAGATAGTTTGAATCGAGCCACCACCTTGTCCAGACTGAAAGAAACTCCCTTGAGTTTCCGGCAGAAGGGTGCAAGAAAGCTTCCGGAGCTCTGTATGCACCTGCACGACCCGGGAAAACTTGAAGGTACTGAACAAGAACAATGTGCTCACACGCACTATAAGTCATGATAATACAAGTGAGAATACCATCTCAAATATTTCTTTTTGTTTTTTTTTTGGAGAGCTCTATGTACCCTTCCAGCAATGTAGTCTGGGAACATTAACATGCTGCATTGTTATTACGCCCATGGAGAAGAGGATCCAAATTTTCAATGGAGCTACTGGAATAAGATCAGGAACCAAAGTGCTGCAATGGTGATGGCTTTGTTGTGCCTAGGAATTACAAGCAAACCTTGAGCCTCTTGTGACCCTCACAAGCAGCTTGGATGTCTTTTTAATTTCTCCAGTTGTGGCCATCCTTCAGAAAGTATTTCAAGGCCTTGCGATCGAACAACAACAAGGATCTGCCTAGTAGGAGCAATTCAATGTGACACAAGCAAGGAGCAAGGAGCACTTAGTAGCAGGCTTGTTAGGAGAAATGGAGTTCAGTTTGAAACCATAACTCTGATAATTTGAAGCATCACAAACTTTATGTGGTTTGAACTGTAATGAAGAGGTAAATGTTTTATATTGTATATCTTCCTAGGCAAAGCAAAAGAAGAAAGCTTATGCAAAATAGAGTTATGCTTAATTTTAAGCATTCAAAGAAAAAAGACTCGACTTAGGCAATGCTAATCATGAAGTAGTTAGAAATAGTTATAAATTCATGTAGTATAAATAACACTTAAATGTGTTAGAAAATAACCCCCACTCACTATTGTATGCATTTACATTGAATTAATCATTTTTTCTCCCGCTTATAACTATTTATGCAAAGTAGAATTAAGAGAGTGACATATGTTTATCTTTACTTATGCTTTTGGTGTTTAAAGTTTTTATTCACTTCTCAATATTTTTTTCTCTTCTTCTCAATATTATGTTTTTGTTTCTGTTTGTTTGTCACTATTTTGCAGGTAGGGGCAAGAACGCAAGTATAGGCAAAAAAAACCTTACCCAAACTATCAAACGTATAAATTATTTGCCTCATGTTGAAGTCTGTATTACCTCAATCCTTGTTATCTCACATCTTGGATCTTGAAATTAAACACCACTCACCTTGCTGTAGCATTGCCATCTCAAATAAAAAATCAATTGATAAGATAGTTAGTTGTATTTATAAATCCATTTTCTCTTGAAGAAATGGTGTTGATGAGATGGTTATATTTTTGTATTATTAACATTCATAAATTTGTTAGTTACACTTTGGGAATTCAATTCCATCCTTTCATTCAATAGCTTAATACTTTAAAACTTAAGTTTCACTCCATTACATTTGTTCAAAGGTTAGGTTTGGTTTTATGGCCATGGAGTATAAGGTTAAAAATCACATATGCTACATTTGAAATCAAAGGATTACTATTTAATGTGATGAGAACTACATATGTAAATAAAAATCTTATTATGTACATATTTAGTTGTTGTGGGTTCATATATGTCTCTTGGATTTTAATATAAACTATCATGTGCTATATTATACCATATTATACCATTTAATACTATGTTATATGATGTTGTATTGTCTTAGGGAGTGTGAATTTTGGGATGTACCATTTTATATGAATTTTTGTTTGGGCTTGTCAGATGATGCATAAGGGTTATAATTTGAGTCATTACTATATTATTGTAGGTAAAATTAAATGTCTCTTGAGTTCTTGAAAGTGGTAAATAAACTAATACTTAGCTGTTTATTATAGCATTAGTGGATCCTTCCTAGACATGGTTTGTAGTTAAGGACTATTTACACTTTGTTTAACTTGGTGATGGCTTAACAATAATAGACTTGCTTTACTATGGTATTTTTGGGTTGGTATGGTTTCCTTTTTTTATAGCATGTAGGCTTAACTTTGTTAGTATTGAGTGAATTATCATGTTTAAGATTCAATATATTCTAACATTATAAGCTAAACTCAACTAATAACTAAGTTGAAATTGGAAGAACTAGTTTTGGATATTACTAAGGTGTTTAACTTTAGTTAGCTCAATTGCTAAAGAGTTGTGCTCAATTGTTAAAAAGTGGTGGTTCACTTTTACTTTAACTATTAAGTATATGAGCATTCAACAATCAGATGTTTTAAACATTAAACTTTTATAAGCATTCTTATGTAAAATATTCAATAACAAATTTATAATTCAAGCAAGATCTAAATTTTTATGTGAATAAAAAATGTTTAAAAATAACTCAAAGTATTTGGATCTCAATGCTAAAATTGACACATAAAACAAAGCTAAATATAGTCTAATACAATTTTAATATAGTAGTGGGTTAACACAATTTCACTAGATTATCCTTATAACTTGCTAAATATAAAATAGTGCCAAATCATAAATCTAAACATAGGAACAACACTATTGTGTTTTGAATACTCTTATAAATATGCTTAACTGATATAGCAAGTGTAGGGCAAATTTGGTAAACTATTATTTTATGTTTATCCAGTCTAATTGCATACATGATGACTAGTTTCTTAACTAGTTTAGATGAAGAATGATAAAGGGAACTAATAGTATACTAATATAGTAGTAATAGAATAATATCCAAAAAAACTTATAAACAGGTAAACTTTTGATACCCACAATTACATTAGCAACATTCAAGCACCTATAAATAAAATTGAAGAAGTGTGTGTGTGTATATATATATATATATATATATATATATATATTATGGAATATAGAAATGTGCATATTCAATTAGCCAAAAACCCTTAGCTTATATGTGGTCTAGATTGAAATAAATTCAATAACTATCAAAATCACACTACACTAATATTAATATATAGCATTTTAGGCATATAGTTAGACCTTACATCATCCCCTCATCGCGAAAGAATAAAAGGCAATTAAAGCTCTTTAATTGATAGGTTGGGATTTAAAAAAACATCAAGAGGAGACATTAATGGATCTATAGATGGTGCCAATTGTTCTTAATCCCTTTATAAAGAGCATTTTAACCATTACATATGCACAATTTTTGGAGGATTGGCATATTGAATGTTATATTAAACTTTCATGTGGATAATGATGGGAGTTATAGCATCATTGTTATCCTACTTGTATGTGACCCAAGTGTTTAATAAGCTCCACTTGAACTAATCGAAGAATATTTCCAAAATACTAATCCCAGGACATAGCATCAACAACTCATAGCAATTATGAAGGTAAACTCAACTTTATAGTGATAATTTCACCCTATATAATCATAATCTAATAAAGGTTTTCTAAGTCTAATTCCCATTGATAGAGTGTATGCTCGGGGACATGCTAAAGAACTTAGTCTAACTCCTTTGTTGTCAAAGTCCTAAGTATTAATAGTGAAGAAGCAAATATACTATTGTTCTACTATATGATGCATTTTCTCTAAATCCATTTGCATGTTCTCATATTCAACCTTGAGGCCAAACATAGATAGTGAGATAATTTTTGGTCTGATAAAGCGTTAATATTTCAAATTCAACACTAACTCACTAGCTAGTGTGTCATCTTATATGTCCTACTTGTAGGAACACCTCCATTTTCTCTAACCATCATTTGAAACTCAAGTTGTAGCTAAGGAAAAAGTGGCTATCTTAGTAAATCAGCAACATAAATAAAAGTTATAACTTCTCACTACCAAATTGTCAAGCTGTTGCACAAAGAAGAAAACTTAACACTGTGAAGAGTGAAGAGAAAAGAGAAATAATTATGGGTACTTTCAGAAGTTCTACAGTCCTAAATGAGTATAAAGAAAATAAGAATCAAACTAATTAACAGTAGATGCTCCTATTCTTTGTACCTTTGAAAATTCAATCTATTTAGCAAGAATTAGAAGTAAAATATCACTTATGGTTTAGAAGAAGTTATAGAGGTTACAAATCTTGGCAAGAAAACCCATAAAAAGAGTATTAATATACATAGTAAGTTCAAGTTGGGTAGAGTTTGACCTCCAGTCCAAGAACACATCCTAACAGTTTAGACCACTAATAATTGCTCCAATTAGGACATTTTGATTTGGTAAAACTTTGTAAAACCACTTGTTAAATCCCAACATGTAATTCATAAGCATCAATTCCTTGTAAATTAAAACTATTGACATTTTGTGATGTGGTTCTAAAGGATAAAAATTGTTACAACCAACTATATAAAGCATCCTTAAGGGATTTTGATAAAAAATGAAATTCATCTATAGAAGTGAAGGAGTTATGATATTTTCTCATGAATGATAGTGTAAGTAACCAAAGAAAACAACTTGAAAAACGATATATAGAGTTCAAATATAAAAGGAAAGGGCCCATGAATAAAAATTCACCCCTTTTTTAATCATTTAAAGGTCTTGGGATAGTTAGGGTTAAGTGTCATTAAGTTTGAATAGTACTAGGTTGGGTGACCTTTTGAGAAATCCAAACTTAAGAGCTTACAAATAGCTCATCTGGTTTAATGCAAATGACATCAGAGTGTCTAATACAAATATGTAATCTTGATATGCAAGAGTTTAGATTGCTGCTTGAAGATGATCGTGAAACACATTTGTTAGTAACAAAGTGCTAGTTACATATTGCATGTTAGCGCCACCTACATGGAGTTTGTAGATAAGAAATGAAAAACAAGCAAAGCTATATATTTGGAGTAATGACAAATATTACTCCAGATTTTTCTGTTTGGAAGTACCAAATAGAAAAATCTATTAGCATGGTCAAACAACTTTTACTAGAAAGGTAAAACTAATATAGATAATGACTTCATATCAATCAAAAGAACAATGTCTCCTTATAGTTGAAAGTAAACTTATACACCAACATGCTTGTTATCCCAATTGAATTGGTTAGTGGGGAACTTTTATCCATGTTGCATTTTATAAAATCGAGGTAGAAGATGGCATCTTGTCATCATCTTTTAAATCTTCCAGTAATAGAACTCTATACCTCTATACTATATATATATATATATATATATATATATATATAAAAGATGGTTAATAATTATCTCAATTTGAATACTAAAAGTTTATATACTTCGTGATTATCCTTTTGAAGGTCTAAAAGAGTTGTTCCATCAAACCATTCATTTATGATGATAAACACTTATGAAAATATGGCATACCCTACCCGAGATGTTAAAATATAAAATACCTTAACCATAAATGCAGAACCACTATCTGAGAGAATTTATTTTGGATATAAATGGTAAAACACAGCTTGATTTAAAAGGAAGTATCTAACAACAATTGTTATTATATACCACAACCTCATTCTATCCTTGAACAAGCAATAGTAGTGTTAACCTCTATTAAAACCCATAGAAAGTAAAATTGAAACATGTGTAAGTGGGAGAGGTGATGTCTCAAAATATTATACCACTTGAAGAGTATCGTTAAGGGTGGCTAGAGCAAATGCATACATAAGTCCCATAAAATCTTGATGAAACATTAGCCACAACATTCCTAACTTGATTTACTCTAATATATTTATTAGAAACAAGAGGTTCCAAAAACAAACACTAAATTACATCATTAACTCAAACAACCCCTGACAAAGATAATGCAATTACTGAAAGGCATTATCACAATTGTCACCATGTCGAAATGCACTTGAAGATGTCCAAAAGAAGGCTCTAATCTGCATGAGTGGCTACACTCAAATTATTGTACCACTACAATGTCATTCCTTGGGGACATATAAGAAACTTATGTAAACACTAAACATTCTCTCAAGAATGATAAATGGCAATCATTGTAAAGTGATCAAACTAATAATACACATTATCCTTAAGATTTCCATATGAAAATTTTGGCCAGCTATGAGGATTGCCAACAAGAGTAGGAGGAGTTGCACCACATGCCATGAATGTTGCCATCAACTGAGTTTCATTATTCAACTATAACTATATAGCATTTAACAACTATATTAATTGCTACTCTATAGTCAAAGGAGGAGGAAGGGGTTGCTTCTCTACTTTGAAGATGAACGAAAAGAAAAAAAACAAAAGAATTTTTTTTTGAAAAGTTACAAAAAAAAAGAGATTTAAATGATGTAAAAGTTTAAATCAAAAGCACAAATGCAAACACTCCTTATAGATAATCAAAGTTGCTCCTTACCTCCATTAATATGAGCGTATAGATATAGAGATGGAATATAGATATGTGCATATTCAATTAGCCCAAAATCCTAGCTTATATACATGAGCGAGTGGTATGAATTGAAATCAATTCAATAGCTATCAAAATTCCACTACACTAATATTAGTATATATCATCATAGCCAATATATATATATATATCCATGATATATCTAGTCTCTTCTGCTCCAAACTCCAAGACAAACTCCAAGTGGTATAAAATGTTTAGATATAAGCAAATTTAAGAATATCTACTTTTGTAAGGCCAAAAAGGTTCGTTTCCTTATCTGTTTGGCAGCACAAAATATCATATTCTTTACATGGTGGAATGTGTGGTGTGCAGCATTCAAACTAAAATAGAAATGCTTCTCACGGTCCTTGCTATATTTAGCTGTTAAACTGATAGGTTAAAATATTAGAACTTGCGGAGCTCTTTGTCATTTAAGGCCCTGCGATCATTGGGGCTTGCGAGAGGCTGATTGTTTTAGATTGAGGTTGAGATGGCGACTGTTCGCGGGGTACCGCAGCAAGGTGAGTGGAGGCTAATTTTAAGATCAAAGACTGAGGATAACGAGGATCTGAGGCAGACTTCGACATGGGGCAAATCGTCCAGGAAGCTTGCGCCCGATGGCTCAAACCACCCGAAGTTTGTGACATACTTCGCAATTATCAGAGATACGGTTTCGATCTCAACCCCGTTCCTCCTAGCAGGCCTGCCAGTGAGTGCTCCCTTAGGCTTTGCCCTTTGCTTGTCTCACACTGACTTGCCACGCTACTAGGTGGATCCTTGCACTTGTTTGATCGCAAGGCTTTGAAATACTTTCAGAAGGATGGCCACAACTGGAGGAAAAAGAAAGACGGCAAGGCTGTTCGCGAGGCTCACGAGCAGAAGGTTTGCTTGTTATGAACGAGGCCATCACCATCCGTTCCTGATCTTGTGTGCAGTCTGGGAGCATTGACGTGCTGCATTGTTACTGCGCCCGTGGAGAGGAGGATCCGAATTTTCAACGGAGCTACTGGATGCTGGAAGGGTACATAGAGCTCTCTACAAAAAAACAAAGAAAAGAAAAAAACGAGAGATGGAAATCCTTCTCACTTGTATTATCATGACTTGTATGTAGTGCTTATGAACACATTGTTCTTGTTCAGTACCTTCAAGTACACCAGGTCGGTGTTAGGGTGCTTTTCTTTTTCTAGTGCTCGAAGCTTTTCCTTTTCCAGGGTCGTAAATCTGCATATAGAGCTCCAGAGTATCTGAAACCTCACGCAGAGTCACCCTCAATATTATCCTCGGAGCATGGCGATTCAAGTGACGATGTTGAGCAACTCTCCTCAAAGTATTCGATTTTGCCGGAAACTCAGGGGAGTTTCTTTCAGTCCGATATTGATCTTAACGACCTCTTAGACCGTCCAGGTATACGAGTCAGAGTGGACATTTTGCTATCTGACACACGGCTCGATTCAAACGTCTGCAGACATGTTCCTCGGCCAGAAGGCGCTCACTCCTGCCGTGAGCTTGGACATGAGCGGATGGAAAGAAGTTCTGCGAAGCTATCTAGAGAATCCAACGAATGGCCCCGTCAAGCCAGAGGACGAGACGTTAGAGCAGCGTACTACCAGGGATGCATTCCTGGAACAAGCCTCGCCCATGAAGTTTGAGGATGGAATGTTCAAGTTATCACCAAGAGCGAGTTTAAGTCCTAAAGCGATCATGGAAGTCCTATCTCCTCGGGGTCTGGGTCGCCAACCTCAGACACATTTCGAGGCTCAGCTGCGTGCTGCCACCGCTGAGAACGTCATGAAAACAGCACAAAGCCTCTCTCCGGTGTGAATTATATAGTCAGTTCTTTCGTTACATGTAGTCCCTAACACGTCCATGCAGACAAAACGTGTTTCCTCTCCTCCGCCTGCGCAGAACGTCCTTGTGGATATGGGGCGTGCTTCTCAACAGGTATTTAAGTTCCGCTTTCTCTCGCTGGCGAAATCGACACGGGGAGCGCACTGGTTAAAAACTCTAAGCTTGTCAAACAGGAGGGCAGAATCAAGCAACTGGCTAGTTTTGGACGATGGGCGCTCGAGCCCGCGCCCGCGAGCTCGAGCTCTGTTTGGCTCCTTCCAACGAAGAAACCAAGGTTTCGTCTCACGTATATATTTATCTCACCTCTAGGTTCTAAATGGCAGGTTCTCGTCTCCGGGACCACTGGACGTGGGTAAGTGAGGCACCACGAGGTCGTTTGATAAACAAACAAGCCTGGCTGCGAGATTGGTGATGTGGGACTGCCAAAGGCGTGTAGTGTTTTAATTTAAGAAAATCTAAAACAGTTTAGTTCAAAGCTTTTGTTCTTATCGCGCAATCCGTAACAGATTCTGTGGCGTGACGTGCCGTCAGAGCGCCCGCGAGTAGATCAAAGCCTGTTTCTACAGTGGAGGTAATGCTTTCTGGCATGCCGCATTTTCCAGGTGGGGGCGCTGCCAGATTTGATCAGCAATGGCTTGGCTGTGGCGATTGTTGACACTGGAGCGATTTTGATGCAGGGATATGTTATGAGGACGCTGTCTCGGCCACGCTTGCATCCAATGTCTATCTCGGTCGGTATACACTTTCTTTCATACTTTGTGAATTTTTATCGAGATTTTCTTTGTTGGATTATTACTTGGCCTACTTGTCCCACAGTATCTGATACGTGCTACATTGATATCCTCCAGAACAAGCCTCTGGTTTGTGTAAACGGACAATATCTGAGGAGTCGAGTTGAGGGATCTTTGAACTCTGGTAAGTGCACTCTTGTTTTCTCCATTTTGAACTTAAAGCTATGTGTTTCTTGCACAGGGTCATAGATGTTTGAAACTTCCAAAATGCAAGCATCTAGCACCATGTAGTTCATTCTAGTATGTTATGTAGAATGGAATGCAGGGCTCACAGGGCATATGCCTTGGGTGCAAAAAACCAAGCAAGTGGTGAGAGTTTATAGTGCTGGTGATTTGGGGCGAAAGGGCGAAAGTCCTTTTTCTTTGATCAAAATATTACCTTTACATGGTCAAACTAAAGTGGGGCTATGTTTAGCTGTCAAAGAGTCATTGTCTAATTGAGATGGCGATGCCGCAGCAAGGTGAGTGGAGGAATTTCAAGATTGAAGACTGTGAGATAACAAGGATCTGAGGCAATCGTCCAGAAAGCTTGCTCCGATGGCTCAAACTACCCGAAGTTTGCAAGATACTTCGCAATTATCAGAGCTACCGTTCCTCCCAGCAGGCCCACCAGTGAGTGCTCCTTCGCTCTCCTTGCTTGTGCCACACTGACTTGCCACGCTACTAGGTGGATCCTTGCTCTTGTTTCATTGCAACGCCTTACAGGTAAAGTTTATGCTTTCTCTCGCTGGCCTGTGCTCAAGAATTTTAGTACTGGACACAGAGAGCGCACTAGCTAGAAAATCAAGCGACTCGCTAGTTTTGGACGATGAGCGCTGGCAGAGATAGGTAGCAACAATATAGATGCGGTCTCGAGCTCCATTTGGGCAGCCATGGACGATTACAAGGACAGAGAAGAAACCTCCAACCTCCCTATGCCAATGGAGCTTGAGATGAGTGCCCAGTTCCCACGATTGAGCATTACAGACTTCAAGAAACCACTTGCACTCATAAAAATCGCGTGAGACAAAAGGGAAAGTGCAAGTCGTCTTTGAGAGCTAGGGCTTTAGTGCTACAATGTAGCAGTAATGCGGGAAGCGATCTCGCGCAATCCGGGCCCCTCTCGGAACGGTGGAGGTAAGGATTGTAATTCTTTCTGGGATTTTGTAGCGCTTAGGAGATCCAGGCGCAAGTTTATGAGAAAGAGATTTTCTCAGTCAGGCAAAAAGCTGAGCGTTCAAGTTGAGTGATCTTTTAACTCAGCTGTTTTACTCCATATTGAACTTAAACGTATGTGCTTCTTTCTCAAAACTTCCAAAATGCTATGTTATGTAGAATGGAATGGTATGCGTATGCCCTGGGCATACGTATAAACAAACCGAATAAGTGGGTGGTGGAATATCTAATGGTGGAATATCAGTTTCACATCGGGCCAAAGGTTCTTTTCCTTTGATCCTTGGTTCTTGGGTGATCCTATGCTTTTTAGTTGGGCACCACTTATAGTGGCTGCCTTTACATGGTCGAATGTGTGGCGTGCAACATTCAAACTAAAGTGGAAATGCTCCTCAGGGTCATCTCTCGTGCCTTGCTATATTTAGCTGTGAAACGGATAACCATGAATCAAATATCAAAACTCGCGACTGGCGCTCCCCTGGTTTGATTTTGTGTAGATGGCGACTGTCCGTGGGATGCCGCAGCAAGGTGAGTGGATGCTAATTGCAAGATCGAAGACTGTGAGATAACAAGGATCTGAGGCAAAACAGACTTCGACATGAGGCAGATCATCCAGGAAGCTTGCGTCCGATGGCTGAAACCACCTGAAGTTTGCAAGATCCTTCGCAATTATCAGAGCTACGGTTTCGATCTCAGCCACGTTCCTCCCAGCAAGCCCGCCAGTGAATGCTCCTTTCTCCTTGCTTCGATTGTCACATGGACTGACTTGCCAAAGCTACTAGGTGGATCCTTGCTCTTGTTTGATCGCAAGGCTGTAAAATACTTTCGGAAGGATGGCCACAACTGGAGAAAGAAGAAAGGCGGCAAGGCTGTTCGCGAGGCTCACAAGCGGCTCAAGGTTTGCTTGTTATTCCTAGGAACAACGAGGCCACCACTATTGCGGCACTTGGTTGTATGCAGTTTGGGAGTATTGACGTGCTACATTGTTACTACACCCACGGAGAGGAAGATCCAAATTTTCAAAGGAGCTACTGGATACTGGAAGGGTAAAAAAAAATGATATGGAAATCTCCTCACGTGTATTATCATGACTTGTAGTGCTTACAAACACATTGTTCTTGTTCACTACCTTCAAGTTCAACAGGTCGGTGTTCTGGTGCTTTTCTTTTTCCAGCTCGAAGCTTTTCCTTTTCCAGGATCTTGAATCGGCATACAAAGCTTTAGAGCATCCGGAAGCTTTCTCGCACGCAATGGATTCGCCTCTGTTGAGTTCTGTCGGAACTCAACAAGGTCCAAGCTATCAGCAGGGGAGTTTGTTTCAGCCCGGACAAGATGGTGGTATTCTGGAAGATTGTATTGATCTTAACGACCTTTTAGACAGTCCAGGTATATGTGTGACTAGTCAGAGTGGACGTTTTGCTTTCTCACACACAGCTCGATTCAAACTATCTGCAGACAAGTTCCTCGGCAAGAAGGCCCTCACTCCTGCTGTGAGCTTGGACATGAGCGGATGGAATGAACTTCTGCGAAGCTATCGAGAAAATCCAACCACTGGCCCTGTCAAGCAGGAGGATGAAACTTCAGAGCAGTGTACTACGAATGCATTGTTAGGACAAGTCTTGCCCATGAAGTTTGAGGATGGAATGTTCAAGGAATCACCTGGAGCGAGTCTGAGTCCCAAAGCGATCATGGAAGTCCTATCTCCTCGGGGTCTGGGTCGCCAACCTCAAACACATGTCGAGGCTCAGCTGCGTGCTGCCGCGACCAATAATGCCATGAAATCCCTCTCTCCGGTGAGTGAATTAGATAGTTCTTAATCTCTAACACGTCCATGCAGCGCTGGCAAGAGATTATTTCCTCTCCTCGGCCTGCGCAAAACGTCCATGAGGATATGGGGTGCGCTTCTCAACAGGTACAAGTTTCTCTTGCTGCTGCGCCTGCCACTAAAGTCCTTGAGCACAGGAATTCGACACAGGGAGCGCACTGGTGAAAAAATCAAAGCTTGTCGAACAGGATCTTAGAGAGCTCGCCGGGCAAAATGAAGCAACTGGACGATGAACGACGAAATACAGGTGTGCTACTTGCACGGACGCTGGTCACAAACGTTTTTCAGTGCAGCAAACAGTTGCAATAACAAGCAACGCATAGAGGAATAGACATCTTCTCCTTATATTTTTAAAAAAGGTATTTTTGGGTGTAAAACATATACCTAGAATATTCATAAATATATTCAATCACTAATATACAAACCATGTTTAAATTTGAGGGACGATTCGATCTTGCTCGCCACAAATTTGTCCTTGGGTGGCCAAGTACTTGAACACAGCAGGAGCCCCAACCATTTTAAAGGGATGGTTCTAAGCCCTCTTGCTTTCAAACACTATTCTGTGATCCAACCTCTGGATTTCTTCTTCCTCAAAGCTTTTGTGCACCACCACGTCCACAATGGACGATCTTCTCGTGCATCAATACTCCATCTTGCAGTGAAGCTGGATCAGTCCACGAGTTGCATTGTAGAGTTGCAGAGCTGTGAGGAAAGTTAGCTTCTCCTTTCTCCTGGCATTCGATCCAGACTCTTTGCTTCGTCCGTGGTAAGCATAAGTGGCACAAGTCCTTCTCAGCCATCTCCAAGAAGAGCTTGGCCGAATACGTCTTGATCGAATCCACTTTTGTGGATGTCTTGCAAGCTCGAGCAGGCACCGAGAGAGCTGATAAAAGTGATACAATTCGGCTTTACTCCCTATAGCTGGATCTAGAGATTCGAGCAGAAAAGCCTCTAAATTTGTTCAAGCAATCATGTGGTGGCCGACCTCCTGGCTGCTTTCAATGGGTGTGGGATACTCAAGCTTGAAGATAGTGCCAGGTTGCCAGATGCTGCTGGATTCCAACTTGGAAATTGGGAATGATCAAGTGTGGGAAAAGAGCTCTTCCATTGTTTGGAGAGGAAAAATGTTATCAACTAGATGAATTTGGTGTCAGTGTAGCAGAGAATGGGGAGACTTGGGGGCTGGAATGCTGGAATGCAATGATCATGGTTTACGCTCATAGAGTGGGAGGACATTTTGCTGATGTGGATTTTATAAACATCCAAAAGTAATATTCTTGGAAGTTTTAAATACTCCAAAAACAAATTAAGGTTGGGTTAATGATCTTTGGTTTAATTTGTTAAAAAGAGTTTATGGCTTCTCTCAAAGATTTCTTTAAGCAGGAGGTTGGCACAATGTCCAGAGCAAAGTCAAAGTTGCCAATCCATTCTCTTCAGATGTAGTGTGTTTACACAAACCACCTGTGTGTCTCCCAACCCAAGTAAATAATCTGTGGAGGAATGTTAAAACAAAGATTGGTAAGAGCCCACAAAAACAGTTGAAATAGACTAGCAATGAAACTGGATGATGCCTCTCCTTTGGTCCAATAATATGTCATGCAATCATGCCAGGACAGCATCCCGATTAACAAATCCCTCCATAAAAAATGTTCCACATCATGGAATATCCCAGTTTATTCTATAAAATAACTAGTAAAATGTAGATTAAAAATTACTTTAATATTTTAAATTTTATTTTATAATGTCCTTTTTTTACCATTGTTTCTATTTCTGCTAATTTCTAAAGTAGCTATGTTGCCCTCTAGATTAAGCAAGTGTCACCCCACACCAAGTAATAACAAGGTTCTAGCACATCCATTTTATACTGTTTAATTGTTGAAGTGTAAATCCCCTAATGGATAATCCTTATTGATGAGTGCTAAAAGGCTTTGGAGCTGCCACTGGACACTCATTTAGCATTGAATTCACATTAATGAGCATTCTGCCACTAAATGGTTTTTATGGTCCCAAATGTTTGGGGTTTAAGTTGAGAAATGAAGATTAGGCCTGTGTGATGGATCTAAACAAATGGTTTTTAGGTTAGCCACCACAAGATCATATGTTTGAGGTTTAAGTTAAAAATAAACATTAAGGCTACAAGCTTTTATTTATGGATCTAGACAGTTTGGTGGATTTGTTGCAATGAGCCTTTAGCTACATGATGGTAGATTTGGGCTACAAGGACTTCTATGATCAAGGTAAAGAGCGAGCATTTCTACAATTATTTATAACCAAAGATTATATGCAAAAGTTTTAATTGTTCTGATTGTTTTTCTAATACGTATATTTAAAATTTGATTTTTTATTAAAATTATTATTATTTAAATATTTTATATTTTACAAGGTATATAAAAAGTATATTCTTTTCTTTTTGGAATTTTGACATGAAAAACCCTTAAAGAGGAATGCTAAATGAGACCCCCCCCCAAATTAATACTTACCTTTAACATAAATTTATAGTTAACTTCAATTTAATATAAGAGTAATGCATTGGCACTACTCCTGTACGAATGCTACCTCGTGCAAAGGCCTATCACAATGGAGCTCATACGCTTTTGATGTTTCTCTCGCTGGAGTTTGACGCTCACCAGTGTCAAGAGAGGAGAGGAAGGAGAAGAGGGTAGATTGTGCTCCACGAGAGAGGAGAGAAAGGGAGAAGGAGAGGGCTGAGCTGTGCAAGACAGTGGGACAAAACGAAGGCAGGAAAAGGACTGTATCAGAAATGGTCTTGTACCATTCGACGGTACTGCTTGCAGCACAAGATTGTGAAGATGGCGGAAGTTATGGAAGTCTTGAGAGCGAGATTCTCTCAATCAGGCATCGAGGACGAGAACAGCCGAGGCAGGAATTCAAGTTGAGGGATCTCTCAACTCAAGTGGAGAGTGCTTTTCCATTTTGTTTTAGAGGGCTGATCCCATATGTGTTTCCCTCACAGGATCGTAGATGGCTTGACCGATGGAAGTATCTACCACCAACATGTTTTTCATTCTAGTAGCCTTTACATGGAACATGTACAAACAGACCGATCAAAGTGGGGAGAAAACCAAGAAAACTGAATTAAGCGAATTGAAATTTTTTATTTTGGTAGTGCGGTGGAATATGCATTTTCATATATCCATAATCAATCCTTGACGTACCAACGTGTTGGTTCTAAAACAATAATATAGTGGAATGTTTACTTTTAGATGGTGGAATGTCTGCTGGTAAAGGCGCATTGTTCTTTGCGTCAAATTAAGAACATGAAAGTTGTGCAGAGTTCCTCAGCACTATATTTAGATTGCATATATTTCTGGATGACCAAATTATTTGCGTCAACTGGCCAATTAAAGCTCGCGGGTGGCAGGGAGCTCTCGTAGTTAGGCGTTCATGGGGGGATGCCATGGCGGTGGTGTGAAGCTGCTCCCACTGTTTTAGATTAATTTTGTTTTTGAGATGGCAACTGGTGGAAGAGTCTATAAAATGCCGCAGCAAGGTGAGTGGAGGCTAGTTTCAAGGTCAAACAAAGACTCTGCTATCTGAGCAGACCTCGACATGAGGCAGATCATCCAGGAAGCTTGCGTCCGGTGGCTCAAACCACACGAAGTTTGCGACATACTTCGCAATTATCAGAGCTACGGTTTCGATCTCAACTCCGTTCCTCCCAACCGGCCCGCCAGTGAGTGCTCCTTGCTCCTTGCCTTGTGTCACACTGACTGGCTTGCCATGCTACTAGGTGGATCCTTGTTCTTGTTTGATCGCAAGGCTGTGAGGTGCTTTCGGAAGGATGGTCACAACTGGAAGAAAGAAGGCCAGGCTCACGAGAGGCTCAAGGTTTGCTTGCTATAACTAGGAACAACCATCGCGGCACTTGGTTCCTGATCTTGTATGCAGTCTGGAAGCATCGACGTGCTGCATTGTTACTACGCCCGTGGAGAAGAGGATCCAAATTTTCAACGGAGCTACTGGGTGCTGGAAGGGTACATAGAGCAGGAAAAAAAAACATGCATCCCCCCTCACTTGTATTATCATGGCTTGTAGTGCTTATGAACACATTGTTCTTGTCCACTACCTTCAAGTACACCAGGTCGGTTGCGGTGTTTTTCTTTTTCTAGCTTTCTTGTGGCTCGAAGCATTTCTTTTCCAGGGTCGTGAATCTGCTTATGGAGCATCTCCAGAGCATCCGGAACCTTTCTCGCACTCGGAGCATGGCGATTCAAGTGACCATGTCGAACAGATGGAGCAACTCTTTTCAAAGGATTCGCTTCTGTCGGAAACTCAGTCCGGGCAAGGTGGTAATCTTATGATGGAAGATCGTATTGATCTTAACGACCTCTTAGACAGTCTGACACACAGCTCGATTCAAACTATTCTGCAGACATGTTCCTCGGCCATCAGCCGCTCAGTCCTGCCGTGAGCTTGGACATGAGCGGATGGAAAGAAGTTCTGCGAAGCTATCGAGAGAATCCAACGAATGGCCCAGTCAAGCAAGAGGATTCAGATGCTTTAGAGCAGCGTACTACCGTGGATGCATCGCCGGGACAAGTCAAGTTTGACGATGGAATAATGTTCAAGTTATCACCTGAAGCGATTCCAAGTCCCAAGGCGATCATGGAAGTCCTCTCTCAACCGGGTCTGGGTCGCCAGCCTCACACACTTCTCGAGGCCCAGCTGCGTGCTGCCACCGCCGAGAACGCCATGAAAACAGCACAAAGCCTCTCTCTGGTGAGTGCAGTTCTTTACATGTAATCTCTAACACGTCCATGCAGCGCTGGCGGGAAAGTGTTTTCTCTCGCCCGCCTGCGCAGAACGTCCTTGTGGATATGGGGCGCTCTTCTCGACAGGTAAAAGTTTCTCTTTCTCTCGTGCAGCGCCCTGGATAAAAACTCATTTTCAAAGCTTGTCAAACAGGAAGAGAGCGACATCAAGAGCCTAGCTAGTTTTGGACGATGGGCGCTGGCAAAATTTGGTAACGACGACGATGCAGGTGCGCCACTCGAGGCCGCGCCCTCGGTCTCGAGCTCCGTTTGGGCAGCCATGGACGTTGACAAGGACAGAGAAGAAACCTCCAACCTCCCTACGCCAATGGAGCTTGAGATGAGTGCCCAGTTCCAACGCTTCAGCATTACAGACCTTTAAGAAACCAAGGTTTCATATGTATCTCGCTTGTAAAAGGGTGGATTTTGTTTATATATACATATTGGTTTAACAGAGAGTTAGGGTTTTAGGGCTCGTGGCAATGCGGGACGCGATCTGGGCTTCTCTCGGAGATTCCTCCGCTTGAGCAGGAGGTTCCGCTAGAGCTCTGGAGGTAAAGATCATAAATACTTAGGAGATCCATGCGAGGTGGAGGCGCTGCTGGATTTGATAAAATTCGATGGGTGTGATTTTGATGCAGGGATTTGGGACGCTGTCTAGGCCACGAAGCGAGTGACGTAATTTAGTCGAAGTCGTTGATCTCTTTTTGGACCAAAGGAGAGACGCTATCCAATTTTATTGGTGTTGTGGATGTCTATCTCGACTGTGATGGAGATTCGGTACACACTTTCTTTTATTCTTTGTGAGCTCTTATCGGCTTTATCTTTTTTAGATTATTACTTGGGAAAGCCTGACGGGCCTACTTGTCACACAGGAGCTGGTTGACTTAAGTTAGTATTATTAACAAGAACTTGAGATCAATCAGTAATTTTTCTCATACGTGCTACATTGATATCCTCCTGGTTTATGTAAACTGACAATATCGTTCTTCTTCTTCCACTGATATATTTTTTTACAGATTGATGGATTGTCAACTTCTATTTGGAAAGAGTTATTCAACAGCGAGCCTGATGGGGAAAAGCCGTCGTGGCTATTGCAGACCAGCAGCTGCTTTTAAGGTGTTGTTTGAGCTTTTGTTTGTTTCATGCGTCCGGATCAGAAGAAACTTTGGCAGGGAGGAAGCTGGTGATCTGTGCAAGACAGACCGAAGGCAAGGAAAGGACTGTATCAGTAATGGCAAGAAGTCGGATCTTTTAACTCAGCTGGTAAGTGCTTTTCCATTCTGTTTAAGAGCTAACTAACAGGGCTAATCCCATGTGTTTCCCTCACAGGGTCGTAGATGTTGTAAATCCATGGAATGGAAGTGTTGTCTGCAGCAATAATGCCTTAAAAAAATGGTGTGTGAGTTTGATATTGGAAGGTCGACATGTTGTGTGATGCTGTTTGGCGACTTCCAAAACTTGACCGAAGCAAACTGTACAAGTATCTAGCACCAACAGGTATTTCACTCTAGTATGTTACCATCACCCATGTCGCTGTGCCTGGGATTCCATTGTGTAGGGGAAAGAGCATGTAGAACGATGGTGGAGCGATCACGGCGCTTGGCGGTGCCGAGCTTTTCACAGTAAAGGTGTTCCCGTTTGCTCGTAATGGTGTGGAAACCGCTAGTTTGAGCTGCCTCTGCCCTTGAGAGAAGGAGTGCGTGGTAAACGGAGCACTCAAAAGCGTCAACTCGATATCTCCAGTCAAGTTGCCCGGTAAGGAGACGTCCACCGAGAATGGCATTCCATAGTTGATAACTCCTGGATAGTTAACTAACTTCGGTCTCTGCCAGTCGTTTGCAGGGTCTAGATATGCCGGAGAGAAAGCTTCTACTCTCAACTCCGTTGGAAACGCTCCCGTGAAAGTGTAGTACTCGTGCGTGTTGCTGCCTGCTACAAGGACTCGGCCGTCTGGAAGAAGGTTTGCGGTGGAGTGATACATTCTCGGAATGGTACTGGCTGCTTGAGTTTCGAACTTTGAGCTGACCGGATCGAATATGACAGGGTTGAGGCAGGGACTGGACGCGTATCCCCATCCTTGAGATCCACTTTGCGCTCCGTTGATGATGAGGACTTGGCCGGTTGGAAGCAGAACCATGTCACCCATGTTTCTTCGCGTAGGCATGTTGAGTATGTTCCAATTTGGATCGCCTGACGTCGCTACCATTCTACCGCAGGTCTGAGAGGCCGGAAGCTGACCAGCTGGATACGCGTAGGCGTCCTTGTTGCTTCCTCCGCAAACGAGAATTTCGGCATTGGAGAAGCTGTTTGCGCTGTCCAAGGGAAGCATGACCGAGCTTCCGGCGGATGGATAGTTCCGGGGCTCACCAGGCAGCGTTGGATATCTCCGAAGCACAGTGTTGGTGAAATAGTTGAGGAGAATGGAGTCCCGGTTGGCGAAGACGAACAGGTTGTTGTCCGGCAGCAGATGCAGGAAGGGATACAGGTTGTTGAAAGTTGGATCGTTCGTCTCCTTGAGAAACGGCAGCTCAAACTGCCCGGCTCCTCTGTCCGGGATGAACTCGTAGGAGAAAGCGCTTCTTCCGCCTACAACGATCACGCGGCCGTCTGGCAAGAGCTGATTGCTGGCATACCACCTTCCGGAATGCAAAAACTCGGTTTTTGATTCCTGCCAGTCGCAGGTGCCCCCGTTCGGACACGGCGTCATGTACCTGACTTTGAAGAAACCATCGAAGTCGCCCCCCGTCTGGAGAAGCGTCCCGTTCGGCAAGAACTGACCTGAGCTGCACCAAGTGTCCGAGTATATCGACAGAGCTCTGCTGGCCCCGGAGAAGTAGTCGAACATGACCGAGTGCGCGGTGCAGTCGTGCTTCAAGGTTCGATCGTCGGGGTTGTCTCTGCATCCTCCTGCGGCGAGATTGATCTGCGAGGGGCCGATGTTGGTTCTGTCCAGGAAGATCGCGTTGCTGAAGTGCGTGACGACCGTGTGCATGCTAGCGACGCCGGCGTTCTGCGCAATGACGTCGAATCGCCCGGGTTGAGCTCTGGTGGAAGAAGAGATCAAGACGACGACGGAGAGGAACCAGAGGAAGTTTCTTCTTCCCGGACAGGCCATGGTCGATAGAAACTTTGGTTTGGCCTGGGAGACACGGCAGAGAAAAGCTCTCAGCGACGAACAGACAGGACAAGGCACTTACAGGCGGAGCGGGAGGCAAGGATCAAACAGACAAAGCCGGGACGAAAATTCCTGCGGTACGCTCCTCACCGTGTCTGCATTGATGGTGGCGGCGACGCGAGTGAGCGCAATAGTATACAGTATGAGACTCTACTCGCTAAGGACAAGCCTCTGCTGGTATCATCAATGCCTTAACGCGATTTAATCGTGCTCGCCCTTGACACTACACTCATGCTCGCCAGCTTTGCGTTTTTGCAGGGATATCGCGTGTATCAAAGGAGAGCGAGATGCTACTCTTCCATTGCCACTGGGGAAGTATTACACGAGAAGGTACGCTTGCTGCCACTTCGTAGAGTTTTTCCATAGTCGCTTTCGTAGTGTTGTTTTGCTTGCTTGGTCGGGCTTAAAGTGAGAGATCCATTGCTTTGTCTTGAAGTCTCTGGCGCAGAGAGCTTTGCTCACCCCGGCTTTGACTGCAGTGCACACAAAGCTCCATCCAGATCTAACGCTTTTCTCAGAGACTTCACTTTTCCTCTCTGCAGCTTTCTTTCGCTCTTTCTGAATCCGGCCCGTCGGTGCTGAAGCTTCACGTGACTTCCACTTCTCATTCATACGAATGGATCCTTTCTCGCGATAACGGTATGCGGTTGTCTCGGGTGTCTGCAAAGGCAATGTTTTGAGAGTCCAGCGAAATAGCAGGGAAAAAGGGAGAGGAGAGATACTTACGTCTGAAGGTCTTGGTGCTACTGGTGGCAGCCCAGAGGTCGCCCCACCGGACCTTTTTCGCTTCCTTGTGAAGAACCCGGTGCTTGGCGCGTGTCACGGTGAGACGATCAAAGCTTCCGGACGAGCCGTCCGGCGACGTCGAGCGGCAAACGTCCAAGGTGACGTGTTTGCCTCGCCGGAATGGCTTGAAAATCACCCGGCCCCAGCCACTGCTCATGTTTGCCGCCGTCTCCTTGCATTCGTCGTCGTCACCCTCTTGTTCTTCGATTTGGTCTTCGTTCTCGTCCTCGCCTGGTTCTTCCTCCATTTTAGTTTCGATGTCTGGTGGAAATTTCTGTTAGATTGAAAGACCAACCTGAGTTCTCACCACCTTCATCGTCGTCTCTGGTCTCTCTATCTTCGTCGTTTTCATCCTCTAAGTACTCTTCCTCTTCTTCATCCTCGTCTTCCTCATAGTCTACAAGTAGGTCGTTTTCTACTGGCTCGTCTTTATCCAGCTGCAGCTCCACATGATCTAGTGGCCAATCCACCCTGTAAAAAGAGCAGCTGTGAGAAATGCCAAGCCAAAACTTTCAGCTCCAATAACTACCTTGGACGGTGCCCGCGGCGAAGGACCACATAACTGTACTTCTCATCTTCATAGCCACGCAGCATTGTTCGTGAGTGTTTCTGGAGAAATAATACAATAAACTAAGCAGCAAATGGATTTTCACTGGGATGGATACCTTAGCCATTCTTTGAGTGAACGTTCGTTCAAGACGCTGAACAAAGTGGCAAAATACGGTTGTGCCATCCATTGGACAGACACCATCATGTGGACACTGAAACAAAAAAAAATAAATGAAAGCTTGTATCAGTAACAAATGGCAACGCAAAGTCCTTACATACCGGTGCAATCACATGAGCACCACCACCGGGTATTTCGACCTCTTCCTCGCTGTGTACTACAAGCTGCTCGTCTAAGTTTCTTTTATTGCCATCTTCCTCCGAGGTGCCGATCATGGGAGTGTCAGTGGAAGTTGAGCCAGTCAGGAACTTCCGCCGTCTTCGAAGTTTCTGAGATGCAAATGCTGATTAACACTGTTGGACGATACAAAAGAAATACTTGCCTTTCTTTCTAAAGCCAGGATGTGAGCCCGTATGCCTCGAACTGTCAAAGACCCTTCTGATGTTCCCGGTTCGACGATTACCTGCGCTAACCATTAAAAACCCGGCAAATAGAAATTCCTCGCTATGCTTACAAGAATGTCTCGAGTTAGTGCCCACAGTTGCCGGGCAGTAGTGATTTGTTCTTCAACGGTCGGGAGCTCTCCAATCGCGTGACACTACAACAAGCTCGTTAGAAATGCAATAAGTATCCACTTACAGAATCGCTTACGGCTATCACAATGTCGTGACCCGAGTGTCGTGTCTTTTTTGATAGAATTCGCAGGGTCTTATGGTTGTGCATAACCGGTGGATCCTCCAAATCTAGTACCTAGCATCAGGAACATGTAAAACTGAATTCGCAACTTGTGCAAGTGTACCTTCGAGGATCTTCTTGGATGCCGCAAGCATTGAAGGAGAAGTCTCTACCATGTTCACTAGCTTAACAGTTTTCGGCCATACTTGAGACATTGCCCTGCGCAAAGAAAAGAATTTTTTAGTGTTTTTTCGAAAGGTAGCTCTTACCAAATGGAAGTTCCTGGTCCAGAGCCATAGTCCAAAACATTCTCTGGTTTAAAATCAGGCAGCCGCCGAGCAACCTATTGATTGAGAGAGAGCAAAAAACAAAAACTTTTAAACATAGATCTCCAAGAAAATCATGAGAACTAGTGATACCTCGCTCAAGACAGTGTGGATGACCGAGTAGACCGCTGGCATTTTCGCAGCAACGTAGGCAGCAACCTGCTTCTCATCGTACCTTGGCTTGAGTCGAGCCGTGCGATATTTCTTTGGAACTGGAGCGAAGGGTCCTTTATTTGAGAAGTAATCCTCCACAGCAGCCAGGACTTTCGCCGAGGGCTCGAAAGCAGGAGTGACGGCAGTGGGCGGCTCCTCGCTCTTGCTGCTGAGCATGAGCGTGTAGTTAAAGACATGCTGCCGAATTTGGTGATTGGAGTAGTCTGGAGGAGAGAAATCGTGAGAAAATCCAAGAATGCGGCTGATTTCCAGCACCATACCTGCAAGATATCCCTTAATTGATTCTTGGAGAGGCTCCGGCACGCGCTTAAGGCCGACCGTCTGCTTGGCGAGCCGGCGGAGGAGCCGCGAGCGCAATATCTTGCGCACCATAGCCGAAAAACCCTAAACCCTAAACCTCTTAAACCCCTTTAATTGGACCATGTGGCGAAATTAAAGGCATTGAATCTCAACGGCCAGGATCCCTTGAAATTTGGGAAAGAAAGTTTAGGGCAGGAAGGATGGCTTGGCGCTCGGAGATCTCGCGCCGAGCTCGCGAGCTGCGAATCCTTTTCTGCCAGACCTCTCCTGGCAGCGAGACGACCAGGTGGGCAGTTTTCCAGCTCCAATCAATCGTTTCTAGAGCTAGGTTTGCAGGGATTACATCCTCAAGAACTACAAGCAGCTCAAGACGCTCAATCCCACGCTGCCGATACTTCTCAGGGAATGTAGCGGGATCCAACCACGACTGTGGATTCGATACCGTAAGCTCTCTTCTCTTCTCCCCCCCAAAACTCTGGTTTGTTCTCACACGATTTGGCACGATTTCTCTTCGCAGCTTATGGAGTGGAGCAAAGCGCCACTCTCGATGGGCTTAGTGTAGAACAGATCGATGCCAAGCTCGAAGAACTCGTGAAAGACGCTCCAGAGTGATTGGAAGAATGGTGAAAGACGATGGTGTGTATATTCTCAGAATAATCTAATAAGTAGAGGAGCAATTGCCACAATTGGGCATTTGGGATCCTCGAGAATGCCTCTTTTCCTATTCTCTTTCTGGTAGCTTGGAATGGCTAGATCATGGACGAGGCACAAGCTCTTGGATCTGGCACTGGATTGCGATGGCTTTGCGCGCGCGCTCCGAGCCTCGAGGGACGCAATCGAGGTAGCCGCCCTCCATCGCCAAATCCTCCACAGCCCACACTGCTGCGATGACAGATTCCTCGCCAATCTCGTCGTCCAGATGTATGGCAAGTGTGGCGATGTGGAATCCGCTAGGCTCGCTTTCGATTCCATGGAGTGCCCGAATCTCTACTCGTGGGCGATCCTCCTGGGCGTCTATGCCCGCAATGCGCACCTTCGCGATGCCAAGGAAACCTTCGATCGGATGCCCCAGCGCAACGAAGTCGCGTGGAATTCCCTGCTCACTATGTTTGAGGAGCAGCGGATGATCGACCCAGTGCGCGAGATATTCGATCGGATGCCCAGCACCACGGTGGTGTCGTGGTCTTCGATTGTTCGTGCAAATGCCCAGACTGGGCATCTGGGCAAAGCCAAAGCGGTGTTTGATCGGATGCCCGAGCGGAACGTAGTGGCATGGACGGCTATGGTGTCGGAGTTTGCCTACGCCGATTCGATCGATCTAGCCAGCGAGACGTTCGATCGAATGCCCGGATGGGATTTGATCGCTTGGACTGCCATGGTCACTGCCGTTGCCGCTAATGGGCACTTGGGAAGAGCATTTGATCTCTACGACAGGATGCCCGAGAGAGGAATCCCATCCCACAACGCGATGATCATTGCGTGCGCTCAAAATGGTCTCGCACGGGAGTCGCAGAAGATCTTCGACGAGATGGGCGATCGAAACATCGTGTCGTGGAACTCAATCCTCTCGGTTTGCGCGACCGAGGAGGAGCTCGGCTCGGTGGAGGCGGTCTTTCGATCCATGCCCGAGTGGAGCGTGATCAGCTGGATCGTCCTCTTGGGAGCTTACGCGAGCGCCGGAAGGATCCCGCAAGTGGAGGAGCTCTTCCAATCCATGCCGGAGCGCGATCTCGTAGCATGGAACGCGATGATCTCCAGCTATGGCCGCCATGGCTACGTCGAGCGATCGAAAAACACCTTCTCCAGGATGCCCGAGCATGATTTGATCTCCTGGAACTCACTGCTCACGGCCTTCTCGGCGAACAGCCACCCGAGAGAGGCCCAGGCGGTGTTTGATTCCATGCCCGAGAGGACGACCGTGTCGTGGGCGGCGATGGTGGCGATGAGGTCCCAGCAGGGTCACCTCGATTCGGCGAGGGAGCTCTTCGATTCGATGCCGGATCGATCGCTGGCGTCCTGGAACGCGATGCTGGCGGGCTACTCGCAGAATGGCCACTCCAAGCCGGCGATGGAGCTCTTCGCGCTCATGAATCTGGATGGATCCCAGCCCAGCGCGGCCACATTCGTAGAGATCTTGGGCGCGTGCCGCGACACAGGCAAGGCGGAGCTGAGCTACGGCTACTTCGCCTCCATGGTGGGCGATTTCTCCCTGGATCCCGTGCCCAGGCACTACTGCTGCGTCGTGGACGCGCTCGCCAAGGCCGGGCACCTCCGCGAGGCCGAGGAGATCATCAAGGGCGTGCCGGGGCTGGAGAGCGCTGGGATCGCGTGGCGGAGCCTGCTGGACGGGTGTAGAACACACCAAGATCTCCAGCGGGGGAGCGATGCCGCGAGGATGGCGATCCAGTTCGATCCAGGCGCCGGCGCCTCGTACGCGCTCGTGACGGACGTGTTGCGCTCTTCGTCTTCCTCCCAAGAACCCTAAATTCCCTAGAACCCTATAGGTATATTCGAGATTCTGGCGGGAAAGACAGCCAGGTCAATGCCACGTAGGTAGCTGCGTACACGTGTCGTGGCCGGCAGAGGGTAGGGTTTGTGCTTGGGGATGGATTTTCTTCTCTGGTAGAATCCGCTGGCCGCGGCAGGAGAGTGGCTGGCTGCGGCGGCGGCGCTCTTGCTCGGTCGGCCATAATGCCGTGGAGAATCATCATCTCGTGACGATTAGGGCTAGAATTCTTCCAAATCCATCCGTTGTAGCGAGATGCTCGGATCGGATCCAGGGATTTGACGCATCGCGCTTTTCCTCGTCCGCCTCTTCGATTGATCGTTCCAAGTTGCGGCCATGGCGGAGCACAAGATAATCTTTGTGGAGCCGCCGGCAGGCTGCGAGGAGCGGCGGCGCAGTAAGCGTATGATGGCTTGCCCGAGCGGTCACAGGTACTGCTGCTCGGAGATCCCGGAAACCCCACGCAAGGCCGTGAGGAAGAGCCCCAAGAAGATTGGAGCCGGGTCGCCGCCGTCGCCTACCAAGATCCGGAATTCGCCCAGATCAAGAACAGCTGGGCCGGTGACGAGGAAGATCAAGAGGAGGAACTTGGCGGAGATCTACGAGATCACACCGGCTTGTGAGCTCCCGAAAGAGGAAGAAGAGGATGAAGACGAGGATGACGAGGAGGATGACTATGAGGAGGTGGACGATGTCAAATGTGGGAATTGTGATCGAGCTAATGATCCACAGAGGTTCCTACTGTGCGATGGTTGCGATCGTGGCTATCACATGTACTGTCTCTCTCCAATCCTTGTCGCGGTTCCCAAGGGTGACTGGTTTTGCCCGCATTGCTCCAAGGATCGACAGCAAGTCAAAGGTTGGATTTTTATTCTTTTTCTTTGCTTCCTTCTGATTGATCGATCCGTGGCTCACTTCTTGCAGTGTTTCCCATGGTGCAAAGGAAGCTCATCGATTTCTTCGGGATCGAGAAGGTGGAGGAAGAACCAACCAAAGGTACCAATACAAGTCTACTTCTTTCAGGTTGGTCCAATAGTTCTTGCGCTCGACAGAAGTGAGGCGACGACGACACAGTGGCTCTCTGGTGATTTACAAGAAAAGCAGGAAGCTGCTGCCATACATGCCATCCAAGGATCCATCGCAGAGGCTGGAGCAAATGGCATCACTGGCGTCAGCCTTGATGACTTCCGGTATTGAATTTAGCAACGAGCTCACTTATCTTCCAGGTCTAGCTCCAAGGCGTGCGAACAGAGCCGTGCTAGAGAAAGGAGGAATGCAGGTGTGGGAACGCTCCCTCGTTTCTCTGTCTCAATGATCTTCACGAGCTCTCTAACACTCCAGGTGATTGGCAAAGAAGATAAGGCCACTTACGAGCTTTGCAAGGCAATGTGCCTCCGAGGCGAGCATCCTCCTCTCATGGTGACCAGAGATCCCCGTCAAGGGTGAGTTTCTCTTTCTCTTCTAGTATAGTTTTTGGTGCTCAAGAGGCTTTTTCTTGCTTGAACTCAGGTTCGTCGTGGAAGCAAACAACCATATAAAAGACATGACTTTGATCGCGGAGTACACCGGCGATGTAGATTTCATGTGCAACCGAGAGGACGACGAAGGTGATAGCATCATGGGACTCCTTTTCCCGGAGGACGCTTCGCAGGAGCTCGTGATCTGTCCAGACAAACGTGGAAACATTGCCAGATTCATATCCGGGATCAATAACCACACCCCGTAAGCTCTAGTTTGTGATCACAGCAAGAACTTTGCAGTGCTAAACGTTCCTTCTCTTTTTCTTTTTCCTGTAGCGACGGCAGAAAGAAGCAGAACTTACGTTGTATCCGCTTCGACATCGATGGTGAAGTTCACGCTCTCTTGGTTTCGATCCGGGACATCGCCAAAGGAGAGAGGCTCTACTACGACTACAATGCGTACCAGAAAGAATACCCAACGGAACACTTCGAGTAAGCAAACCTTAGTACCTCCGAAAAAATTCTTTGCTCTTGTGATTTTATTATTTGCTCTTCCGGCTGGCTATCCCAAAGCGCTTGATCCAGCCCGAGATCACGAAAATCGTGGTGTTTCCAGAAGAAAGAAAAGAGACGATCGTCCATGACAACTACAAAGTTATATTTCATTTGCTATGGTCGTGATCCCTCTTTAAACCGACGGTCCAGAAAAAAAGGAAGCGACGGGCAGGATAATCGAAGGGGAAAAGGGGGAGAATTATTCTGGAACCTAGGTGTGGTCTAAAGGGAATTTCTCCTTCGCGGAGTGGTCCAGAAGATCCGCGGAGCTTTTGGTCGTCATTCTCGGCGCGCGATAGAGGATCGAGGCTGATACTGATCTCCGGCGCGATGGGGGCGTCGTTGATCCAGGTGAGTGTTCTTTAACTTCTAGAGCTGGATCGAGCGATCGATCGATGAAATTTTCGGCACATTGCCGCAGGGATTCCTTAAGTCAACGGCCATGACCATAGTCTCGGAGATCGGGGACAAGACGTTCTTCGTGGCCGCGGTATGGAGATTTCTTTCCATTGCGTGGCAGTTTTAATTCTTTGGTTTTTTCTTTCCTTTTGTTCTATCAGTTGATGGCTATGAGACATCCTCGCGGTGTAGTTCTAACTGGAGCGCTCTTAGCTCTTGTGGTGAGTCGAGCAAAAGAAAATTTCTAGTCTTGGAGATCTGAGCCAAAGTTTTTCGAGCTCGTTTTGGAGGATTTGGATTCTAAAACTTTTGTTTCCCTTCGTGCTGCCAGGTGATGACTATTTTTTCTGCAGTGTTTGGCTGGGCAGCGCCAAATCTTGTAAGAACAAACAGTGTGTGACTTTGTTTGTCTAAGTTTTGCGTCGTCTTCTTCTTTGCAGATATCTCGCAAGCTGACACACAACGGTGCCACGTTTCTCTTCTTTGTTTTCGGCCTCCGGTCGCTATGGGATGCAATCTCCAATGAGGAAGGGTAGGCGATCGCTCGCTTCTGGTTGGATTTTCACCGTTTGTTTGCTCTTCAGGGAGTCCGAGCTCGCGGAAGTCGAAGCAAAGCTTGTAAGATAAATCGAGTGATCTCGACGATGGTTTTTCTGATCTTGTCTGTCTACTGTCTCAGGGGAGGACTGACGATATAAAGAAGAAAAAGAAGCAACAAGCGAGCGTTTTTTTGTCCCCCGTTCTCATCGAGGTGAATTCGCCCTCCTCATTTCTCTCCGATCGCTCATACATTTTGCAAACTCCAGGCTTTTTCGTTAACTTTCCTCGGTGAATGGGGCGACCGGAGTCAGGTAACGAGCAATCGATCTTTCTTACTCGATCACTCAAAACTTCCATGCTTGTAGATAGCTACGATAGGATTGGCTGCCCAGGAGAACGTAGTGGGAGTAGCAGTCGGTGGCTTCCTGTAAGTCGAATTCTTGGCGAAAACTTTGAGATCTTGCTGATAAAAATTCCTTCTTTTGTTTCTCTCTTCTCGTAGGGGCCATGCCTTGTGCACGAGTGCTGCTGTTTGGGGAGGGAAGCATCTAGCTTCAAGCATCTCCGAAAGATCGGTACGTATCAAAGCTTTTCCTTTTCTTTTCTTATGATTTCTTTGTGGATATTTGCATAGGTTGCGCTTTGTGGTGGCATTTTGTTCTTGCTCTTTGGAGCGCATTCCTTGTTTAACGGTTTCCAAGTGGCTTGAACGTATTAAGTTCTTCAAGCCTATGTAACTATACTCGTGAACTCTGGCTACGGAAGTTCATTCTCTAAAAGTTCTTTATACAAACTTCGATTGGCTTCGAAGAAGAAAACATATTTGCTCTTACTGGAAATTATTGTCAAACTGCAACATGAGCTTGTTTTAATAGTAAACGTTGGCGACTTAATCAAATCCTTGCTCCAGTTCCAGACTTTCACAGCGCCTTGCTTGTCACCCGAGCCAGCAGCACCTTGCTTGTTGCCCGCAGAGGAAAGGCTGATAACTTCTGCGCTCAAGAACAAGTGCCCATAAACCTTCACTGTTTAGTCGTGGTAAGCTCAAATGAGTGTGGTTACGAAGAACATAACTATTTTGTTGTAAGTAGCGAGTTAAAAGTAGCGTATACAACCAACTAAACTAACTGATTGCATTAAATTTGTATATTTATAAAAACAAAAAGTAACGAGCTAAAGGTAATGAAAATTTTACTGTTAATTTGCTATTTTTGTTTTTATCACACATACTCAATAGAATAGTGGATATATCAAATGGATTAATGGCTGTATGTTTACTACTTGTAATAAAAATAAAAGTAAAAGTAAAATATTAAAAAACATTCAAACTCTTAAAAATAAATTGATTATTAATAGTTTGATGTTACTATGATATATTTTAGTTTTTAGGAGTTGAATGTTTTTTGTTTTAAAAACAAAAATAAATCAAATTCAATTTAATAATGAACTCTTTGCATTGTTACACGAGTTGTGTATATAAGTAAAGAAGGCAATAATAAAATAACAACTTTAAAGGAAATATAATTTATAGTATTCAAAATTTCGATGATGAATTAAAGCAAACACCATCATATTATCATCCTTGCCATAAAATTAAACCAAAAGGATGTCTAAGTTATGTATAATCATTTTTCCCATTTACTTTCTATATAGTGCTATAAAATATAACATAGTGTAAAGATTTTTTATAAAGTACATTTAATTTTATTAGGATAATTTTGTTAAGTAATTTTATTGCAAGGACTATTATTGAACATCTTTATTTAAATTTAATAAAATTTGTAAAAAATTTATATTTTTTTGTAGCCATTAACAAAAACATTTACATTCTAAAGCTACTAGAATTTATTTAAAAGATTTCCATGTAATCTATATTGTCTTTATATAATATATAATTTATAATATAATTCTTCAATTTTTTCTATATCATTCACATTGTAATCTCAATCATAGCTTTAACAAAATTAAACTTGTTATAAAAGTATAGTGGATACTTTTAATTCACCTTTAAAGGAAAAACATAACAAAAAGTTATAGTTTGTGATAAAAAAATGTAATGTGTTAAAGTTAAAACTTAAAAACATTCATATTTTTAAAAATAAATAAATTTATAAAATTTATCTTCTTAATTTTTATTATTATGTTAATTTTAAAGTTTTTAGGATATTATATATATCTGTAAACTTGAAATAATAAAAAAGTTCACATTTATAAATAATTTGCTGGACATTGCATATAATAATGCTTAGTTTGTTTAATAGTAGTGTTATTCATATTTATTAATTTAATTAATTTAATGGAAATCTAAATACTTTAGATTCAATAAGCTTAATTTTGTGTTTATAAATTATAAATATAAAATTAATCTAAATGAATAACAACCATTAGATAGTAAAATATTTTAGAATATTCAAATATATTTTAGATACCCTTCTAAAATTCAATATGAAAATAAGTTAACTGAGTAAAACAATAAAAACTACAAACAGCTTGAACTTAAAAACAGCCACTTGGTTTAAATAGACAAAAAACCATCTTTACTCTTAATACATATATTGTCAAAAGCTCCAATGCGCGCTTGTTTGCCTAGTAAACTTTACAATCGCTGCTCAGCTACTTAATCAAATCCTTGCTCCACTTCCAGACTTTCACAGCGCCTTGCTTGTCGCCCGAGAAGACTAGATTGTTACCAGCAGCCGCGGAGGAAAGGCTGATAACTTCCGCGCTTGAGAACAAGGCGCCTCTTTCCTCGAACAATGGTAGCCCGTAAACCTTCACTGTTGAGTCTCGGTACGAGCAAACGAGCACGGGCTTGCCATCGCTATCGACGCTCCCACACATCCCTGTTACTCCGCTTCGTCCCACAATCTCCTCCTCTCCTTCTGGAAACGTGAAGTAGTTCTCCAAAGTTCCAGCCGGAGTCGCGGCCCACACCTTGATGAAGCTATCGAGCGAGCAAGACAGGAGGAAGGACTCCCAGCACAGCAGGCCCGTTAGCTCGCCAGCGTGAGCCTTGACGATGGTTGCACAGCTCTTCCCAGTCTCGGCCTCGCAAACTCTGATGGATCCGTCCCTGGAGCCCGAGTAGACGCGACCTCCAGCCACAGTGAGTGCCGTGACAGCGCTGGGATGTTTGCTCAACGTCCCTGTAGATTTGAGCTCTCCACTGCCAAACTCCCACGCGCAAACTTCTCCCGAGCCAAGCCCCGCCACCAGCAAGCCTTTGCCAACTGCTAGAGCGTTCACGTTTCCCGGTGCTCGAGCTTGTAGTGTCTGCTGCGAGAACTTGACGTTCCAGGCCAGGACTTCGTGGCCAGCACCGGCGAAAATCCAGCCAAAACCACTGGCCAGTGCCTCCACCGGGCCCTCTAGCCTCAGAGTATCTGACACGGTCCCCGAGTTGCAATCCCAGGCCCTGAGAGTTCCATCGGTAGCACCAGTAAAGAGCACTGCCGAGTCTGGAACCATAGCTATTCCCGTGATGCTCTCCTTGTGCTCTTTGAGCGTGGTGAGGAGCGCCAATCCGGTGACGGTGGTAGCAGCGTGGAGGAACTTACACCTCTCCCCATATCTACACGACCCCTCCAGCCAATACGCACAAGCCCTTTGGGTGTGAGGAGAAGGCGAAGTTCCTGGTTTCCTTGCCGGCTTCTTTGATCCCAATATCAGTGCCTCTGTCGACGAAGATCTCTTGAGCTTTGGAGGCGGCGGAAGAGCTGCTGGATCGACGATGATCTTCTGTGCATTGTTTTCCGAGTGTTAGCGACCATATACCTAGCTGTGAAAACCTTTTGCGCAACACACACACACTACCTTGTTCTTGATGATCTCGGGCCCTTTCGTTTGATCAAACCCAATGACCCTCGCCTTGTCTGCCAGACCCTCTTTGATCCATGTGTTCTTCTTCAACACGGGGCGGCTGCCGCTGGCGCTGCTACTGGGATCCGCGGCGGCGACACTCCGCTTCCTGCTAGGCCTCTCCAGTGCGAGAGGAGCACTCTCCCCGGAATCAGCTTCACCGTGCACGAATCCACAGACAGCACCCTTGCTACATCGCCCCTGTTGCCAGAATTTACATACCCTAGGGATCTGGCCGGTGAAATCGAGGCGATCGCTCATGGGTCGCCTAGAAATCGTCCTCTTCGTTGCCTCTGGATGAAGAACCTCGCTCAGCGCCATCGACTTGCCCTAAATGAATGAGCCCTAATTTCAAACTGGAAGTAGTAGAAATAAAGGTTTAAAAGAATGTTTAGGGTTCTTCAGGGGGTTTTAAGAATATTTAGGGTTCTTGCGATGGAGCCTCGATCGATCGCGGTAAGGAGCTGCCAATGCTGGTGATTTTTCACTGCGAGGGCCGCGGAGTGGTCTAATGCTGGTGATTTGGAAGAAATCTCAGAATGCGGACGCTCTAGCCTCCTCGCTCTGGAGGCGAGAATGCGGCAATCCGTGGGTAATCCAGCGGCGCTTCATGGCCAGGGAGAGGAAGAGGAAGAGGATCCGGCAAGTGAGCTTCGACGTGATGATCAGCCGGGAGAAGCACGTCAGGCAGGCGCTGTGGCTCAAGGATCTCCTCGTCACGAGGCCCGGCCACACCATCTCGATGATAGATTTCCGGGAGGAGGTGAAGAATCTGGGGATGCGCGTGAGGAGGCTCTACTACCTCCTCGAGTACTACGACACGCTCTTCCAGACGCGGGTGGACAGAGCCAAGGTAGAGTGGATAGAGCTCGGGGAAGATGGCCGGAGGATTGTGGAGCTGGAGAGGAGGCTCATGGCCGAGTACGAGCCGTGTCTAGTGGAGAACTTGCGAAAGCTGCTGATGATGAGCGAGGGCGAGAAGATCTGCCTCAAGAGGATCGCGCTGCTGCGAGAGCCACTGGGACTTCCTCACGACTTCGAGCAGAACCTGGTACACAAGTATCCGCAGTACTTCGACGTGGTGATCGCCAAGGACAAGAAGTACAGGGATTTGCAGCCGTTTCTCAAGCTCACGAGCTGGGATCCACTGCTGGCCATCTCTCGCCGAGAAGCCGATGCCGAGGAGAGCGAGAGAGATCCACACTCGTTCCGGATGAGGTTCCCGGGGGTCAAGTTCGTGCGGGGGAGGGACGCGCAGTTCCTCAAGAGCTTCCAGATGCTCGAGTTCCCGTCGCCGTATGATCCAAACCACGGCTACCCGAAGCTCTCCCGGGAGGCTGTCAAGCGCGCGGTGGCGGTGATACACGAGTTCCTGTGCCTCACGCAGGAGTCCAAGGCGCTGGTCGACTCCATCGCCGAGATCCGGCGAGAGACTGGGATTCCAAAGAAGATTGGCGAGCTCATTTGCCGGCACCCGGGGATCTTCTACTTGTCGTGGAAGGGAGCGCTGGCGAGGCATCCACATATGGAGGTGGTCTATCTCAAGGAAGCTTACAGCAAGCCATACGAGGGGGAGAGGCTGAAAGCTGCGAGGCTGCTGAGGAAAGGGCCCCTGGTGCAAGTGAAAGAAGCCATGGCTCTCACGATGTGGCACGCAGATCTGGCCTACGATAAGAGGCATGGCACGGATTGTTTCTTGGAGGGCCGCCAGTTCCCGATGATAACTTACGATGCGTTTGAGAGTACCTTCCAGTCGGAGCTGTACAGGGAGCAGAAGATCAAGTACGAGAACCTCTAGTTTCCCAGCAGATGGATGGAAGAAAGTTCGAGCATTTGAAGAGCTGAGGGGGGAGGCGGCTTATTCAAAACCAACGACATGGATGGAAAGCCTCGCATTGGACGAGGAATACAAGTCACTGGCATATGAAATGGAATACTAAGAGCTATGGCTTAGATTTACACCTTCTTAGTGACCTACGCCTTAAAGGCAGGATGGCGAGAGAGATTATGGACTCATCTCAGCATGACACATCGATGGCAAGCTTTGTTTTGAAGACAATGTGGAGAAGTTGATATGCTGATTCTTATAGATTTGATGAGAGAATATATTTTGGCATTATATTCTAATAGAATATATCTATTTGTAATAACTGGAACCCTCTCAAGAGCATACTAAAAACTTCTTAAAATTTATAAAACTTAAATAAAGTAACATAAATGATTATGTGTACACTATTATGTATGCACTAAAATTTTAATACTATACTATATATAATAACGAATATGTGATTGCATTATATATTTATACATGCAAATGTTTTTTTAATTTAATTTTTTTGTCTTTTTGAGTTGCATGCAAAAATATCATGCACACAAACACTTTTCAATTGTTATATAAACAATCAAAATGTGATTATGTGTATAATAATTTTTTCATAAAGTATGTTATATATACATGGGTGTAGCGCATGTGATCATAGGATGAGATTTGGATATATTGTCACCGTGAATCTTTAAAACCTTGGGGGATAAATGGGGATAAAATAGCCATTAAAGGCTCTTTCATCAAGCAATTACCTTTTTTTCAATTGGCTTAAGGGGAGATAAATAAGATGCACTACAATGGGGTATGACACTTTCAAATCCTAAATCACCAAATTGCTTTGTGTGAGGCTATGCCGAGTTACAATTTCTCCACGTCACTGAGTTTTGCTTAAGTTATCTTTTGGATAAGTCTTCCAAAAGACTTCTTAGTTCTTATGCTCAGCTACCCAAATGCCAAAAAGGGAACTACCTACTACAAAATCAAATGCCCAAATGTTGCATAAAGACATAGAGAGTAGAGGCAATGGAGAATCTATGAGGCAATCCTCTCAGGAAAGCTCTATATACTCAATTGGAAGTGCAACTTTTGATGGCCATTTGCCTACAAACATACAGTTTATTGCAAATGTCAAGTTGGGGCATTCAGGAAGCAAAACTCAAATAACTCTCAAATAGTTCTTTGAAAATCAATATCACCAAAATGCAAACGTGACTATGAGGAGGTTCATCTATGCTCATGCTCTTCCTTTTAACATATTCTGTTCACCTTTTTGGGAAGACATAGTGGATGCTTTACTTGTTGTTAGAAAGGGATACAAATCCACTATAATCAAATATAAAGGACTTTGTGTTTAGCATTTGAATGAAGAATGTGAAAGTCTGAGGGAGAGGATGCAATTAATCAGAGAAGGATGGAAACATTATGGTTATAATATTATCTTGTATGGATGGCAATGCAGTAGGAAGAGGTTGATTATCAACTTATTGGCTGTGAGTTGTCAAGGTTGTGTTTCTTAAAATCAATTGATGCATTAGATGCAATCAAGACTGGTTTATATCTCTATGAGCAGGTATAGCTAGTGATTCTGGAAGTTGTACTTGAGAATGTTGTCCAATTGGTCACAAATAATGCAGCCAATTGCGTAAGTATGGGCCAACTTATGATGGAGGAATTCCCTCATATATCCTACATTGTCGCGAATGTGACTTCGGGTATCGAAAGTTACCTGTCGGCTAGTCCTTACGGACACTCTTACCTTACTGCCACGATGGCAGGAGGTCGGTATTGCTGGACCCGTTATCAGTTTCCCACTTGAGTTAGTTGAGAAATTGGTCAATGACCGTGTACTTAGATCGGATAAACATAAGGTAGGAACCCTATGTGTTTCTTGCTGAGCATACTCAACTTGGTTTGAGAAACTCCTGTCATTGGCTTGCACTTGCTAGTATCAAGAACTCCCGCGATATTGAGATTGGTCCCTTAATATCGCTAGATGATAGCTTACCGTGTCTGCCAAACACCCTCGCTATCATACCCTTTGTGTTAGTCTCATTTTGGTCCCAAATGTTATTTATGGAAAGTGTCCAGATTTGCTCATTTGGCATATCTACGGAATGTAGAGATCGTCCTGAACACAATGGTGTTCGTCCCGTGTCCAAATTCGCAATCTAAGGACATTCCATATTTAGTAAGTTTCAAGCTTGTCCCAGAGACTAACTCCTGATACTAAGGGAGGCTTGGGGTGAAAGCCCAAAGCGTGTGTTCCTCTAGGGGGGGGGGATGTGGGGGGTTCCAAATGCATAGTAGGGATAGTGGGTAGGTCGGGCATGGCCGACCAACCTGAGGCATAGTCTAGCTCCCGCTTGCGTGCTTGTCCTTGTTCTGCGTCCGGCTTGGGTCTAAGCCCAAGTTCCATTCCATGCTAGTTGGTGGAGTACCCATGTCCTCGCGTTAGGCCACCGGTATGCCGAAATAGCGCCAGACTTCGTTTGGCTCCGTTTTGCGTGCTGGTCCTGGCATTAGGATGCTGGTTGCTCCAGGACTGTTCCAAGTCGCTCCGGGCTCCTGTCCCTTCGCTCCTTGGGCTTTATGCTCGAGAGTTGCTCCGTGGTTTAGTTCCGTCACTCCTTGGCTCCATGCTTGGGAGTTTGGCACCGTTCCTTTGTTCAGTGGCCCAAGGCCCTGAACCTCGGGTTCCTATGGACACGTGGCATGGACACGTGGCATGTGACACGTGGCATCTGTCACGTGGCACAAAGAGGGTTTAGGTTCCGCTTCGTGGTGTTATCCTATGGTAAATCACTATAGGATAAAGGGTCAAAACCACGTGCGCTACATACATGGTTGTTGTGTTTGCCATGTTCTTGATTTGTTATGCAAAGATATTAGCAAATTTGAATGGGCACAACTATTGATTAGTGGATGTGAAAAGCTAGTTACCTTCTTTACAAAGAAACCAAAGCTTCTAACTACTTTCCAAAAGATTGCACCATGGGATATTGTAAAGCTAACAACAACACAATTTACTTATAGCTACTTGGTTATAAGCCAATTCGTTGATGAGAAAATGCTATGGAAGAACAATGAGTTTTGGATACAATGTTCTGAGCTTCTCATGATCATGGCCCTAATTCTAAAGCTATTAAAAATAGCTGATAAAGATGGTGTAGGGATGGGCATCATCTTTGAAGCTATTGATAAAATCCAAGAGAGCTTGCAGAAATTGGCTGATGATGATGTGGTGGACAAGTAGAGAATTGAAACATTTAAATCATTCATATACAACAATGACCAATCTGATCCAAACCATTGGCTTGATGCATAATCTTCTACAAAGTATGGGCCGTTGTTTACATCTATTGTGAATGGACATAGAAGAGGATGTTGATACCCATGCATACTTTGAACAGATTTCAAAAGGGGATTTGAAGGTTGAGGAAAAGTTAATGCTTTAATTTCATGATTTCAAGAAAAATTGACCTACAGAGATGAGACGTAATCTGGCATCTCAAAGAAACATGTGTAAGAAAAAAATGTTTTGGTGGGGAGGTATAGATCTCAACTCCTGACCTGCAGAAGGTGGCTATATGAGTTCTCAGCCAATGCATTTCAGTTTTTGATGCTGAAAGAAATTGGAGCACTTGGAGAATTGTTCAGTCTAAGAGAAAAGCTTGGTTGCTAGTTGTGAATATCGAAAAGTTAATGTATTGTTAGACTAACTTGAAGTCAACTCATAGAGACAAAGGCCACCCCTTGTAAGAAGATTGATCCAGATGATTTGGATTTAAAGCCAATTGGGAGAGGCTTTGCATATGCAGTAAAGGATGGAAGAATCCCAAGAACTTTTATAAAAGATAAATGATAATGTTGTCGAAGATGAGGTTGACAATACTGATTGAAAAGGATATTCGAATATTTAAAATATTCGTTTAAAATCTTTTACATTTCTTTATGTTTTTAAGTTTGTTTCTGACAAACGCGTTTCCACGTTTGCAAACGCATTTGGGTTTATGTGTTTGGAACATTTGTAAGTATGATTTTTTCTTCTTCATTATCTTGTATTTCTCTCCTTTTTGAGCATTGCCTGATCGAATAGACGAAGAACATACGAAGTTTTCTGAAAGAAAAGTTACAAAACTAATTACATGCTGCTGGAGCTATCGTTTGGTGACGTGCTATTGCTAGGCCATTGCATTTGCACAGACGTGGGCGAGCTCCTAGTATGTTTCTTATCATCATCGACCACTTCCACCTTCCTGATCGCCACCATCTGCTCCAGGTAGCGCTGCTTCCCCTCCTCCTCGATCGCACGAAGCCTCGCTGCCACATCCTTCATGCATGGCCTGTCCTCCTTCTCCGTTGCCAGGCACTCAAACCCGAGCTCCGCCACGCACTCCACCATCCTCTGCCGCACGCTATCTTCCCCCGCCCCAAGCCGCGGATCCACCAGCTTGTCCAGCTCGCCGCACTGGATCCGCGACACCGCCAGCGCCGCCAGGTTGATCTCCTTCCTCTCCCTGGCCATGTCCACCGCCCGCTGCGACGACACGAGCTCCATGAGCACCACCCCGAGGCTGTAGACGTCGCTCTTGTCCGTGAGCTGGTAGCTCTGGTGGTAGTCTGGATCCAAGTAGCCGGGAGTTCCCTGTGGCGCGGTGGTGATGTGCGTGAGCTCCAGCGATGGGACGAGGCGGGAGAGGCCAAAGTCGCCCACTTTGCAGTGGTACCGCTCGTCCAGGAGGATGTTTGTGGACTTCACGTCGCGGTGGTAGCAGACGTTTGTGTGGAGGAAGGCGAGGGCCTCGGCGCACTGGACCGCGACAGTGAGGCGGGCGTCCCAGCCGAGGTAGTCGCGCGGGTTGTCGTAGAGGTGGTCGGCTAGAGTTCCATGGGCCACGAACTCGTAGACGAGGAGGAGCTCCTGCTCGATGCAGCAGCCGTAGAGCCGGACGAGGTGGGGATGAGTTACCTGTGTAGGAAAGACGATTGAAGTTAGCAAGTCTGGAGGATTCGTGCGTAGGGGAACGACTTGGTACGAGATCAAATATGATCAAAGCAATATAAGTCAAGTGACAATGCATGAAACGAACAAGTCAGAGTAATGCAAGTCAAGAAGAATAAAGTGGCAATGTATGAAACGA